GCCCGAATCACACACCTGCTGAGCGAAATATCAGACTGGATGTCGCTCCACTTCCTTAAACTGAACCGAGTTTCTTGTCTTCCCTCCAGCCCGGACACCACCCCCCATTGACTTCTCTATCACATCGAATAACGCTACCATCAAACCCGCCCCGCAGGCCAGAGTACTTGGTGTCATTCTGGACTCCAACCTATCCTTCCAGCCCCAAGTCCAATCTTTAACAAACTCGTGCAGACTCCACCTCTGCAACATCGCCAAAATCCGCACATTCCTAACCCCAGAAACCACTAAACAGCTCATCCACTCTCTCATCATATCACGACTCGACTACTGCAACTCCCTCCTCACTGGCCTGCCTCGCCGCTGGCTATCCCCGCTTCAGTCGATCCTGAATACGGCTGCCAGACTCATTCACCTTTCCAACCGCTCTGTCTCCGCCACCCCCCTCTGCCAATCCCTCCACTGGCTTCCGATTGCGCAACGGATCAAATTCAAAATCCTAACGCTGACGTACAAAGCTGTCCACCATACTGCCCCGAACTACATCACTGACCTAATATCCAAGTACCGCCCAGCACGCACACTCCGCTCCTCACAAGACCTCCTTCTCTCTAGTTCCTGGTCTCCTCCTCCCATGCCCGCCTCCAGGACTTCTCCAGGGTGTCACCCATCCTCTGGAACTCCCTGCCCCAACCCATCAGATTATCACCTACTCTCCTCACCTTTAGGCACACCCTGAAAACCCATCTCTTCAGGGAAGCCTACCCCACCCCCTGCTCACTTGCCGACCTCCTCCACTCTTCCTACCACTCCATCCCCCACAGCTATCTCCTCCTGTACCACTATCCCCTCCCTCCTAGATTGTAAGCTCCAAAGAGCAGGGCCCTCAATCCTCTCATGTTTTGCATTGTATTGGTATTGTTCTGTCACATGTTCTGTCCCCCTCTGTAATGTACAGCGCCGAGTGAACTATTGGCGCTTTATAAATACTGTATATAATAATAATAATAATCTCAACGCAACTGAGCATGCATTTCACTTGCTGAAGGCAAAAATAAAGGCAGAAAAACCCACAAATAAAGAACAACTGAAGACAGCTGCAGTCAGAATCTGGCAAAGCATCAGAAAGGAGGAAACCCAGTCTTTGGTAATTCCCATGGGTTCCAGACTTCAGGCAGGCATTGCCAGTAAAGGATTCTCAACAGAATATTAAAAATGAACATTTTATTTATGATTATTTTCATTTGTCCATTTACATTTGAGCCCCTGAAAATGGAGGGGTTGTGTATAAAAATGGTTGCAGTTCCTAAAATTTGTACTTGATATTTATGTTCAACCCCTTGAATTAAAGCTGAAAGTTTGCACTACAAATTCATTTGAATTGTTTTGTTTTAATTTATTCTGGTGGTATACAGAGCCAAAAGTATGAAAAGTGTGCCTGTGTCCAAATATATATGTACCTAACTCTGTGTGTGTGCACGCACGTGCAATTGTGACTCAAGTCATATTGTAATTGAATGATATTAAAAATGACATTTTCTTTTCAATCTGCAGCACTGTAGTTTTTTGTAAAATGCAATATAGCTGCCTGGAGGCATTCTGCACACTGTACGGAACACCCCATGAAAATGTAATTTCCTGCTTGTGTGATTGGCTTACTAATTTACCAGAAGTCTGCACTAAGATACAAATCGGATTTTCAGCATCCCCAGCAACAACTACCAACTACTGTCATTTTTGGTGAGATACTCCCAAAGGGAAATCACATCTAAAGTGATGCAGACCCTGCCAATTTTCTCATTCTAACCCTGCAGGTGCAGCAGCTGATTGATAATTATAAAACCACCCCCATACAGATTTAGTCTGTTCATGGACACCTACAAACATACAGCTATTTCTTCAGAATAACAAAATGTAGGAATTTGCAACAAAGTTTGTTAAAATCTTTGCAATGTTCATAGATCACCCAGAGGGGCAAGTTGTTGAGGACAAAAAAAAAAGTGGAGTTACTCTTTAAGGTGGCAGGGTTGTCGATTTTTGTATGTTTGTATTGTGGGGTTTTTTTTTTTTTCAAACCATGTAACCTTTTAATGGTCACCACACAATTGTCGGCACTCTGCGCCATGCCTTTTTGTATATTATTGCTGCTCCCATACTCATTGCCATATAATGCTAAAAATTATTTAATAAAGAAGCTAAAAAAAGACACTTTAGTATACTGAGGCTCTGTATCCCTAATACGAAAGCTGACCTTACCTTACATAGGTAGACATGATTTAGTTGACAGAGGCAAAGCCTGCCATTAGTTCACCTACCTCCAATGACGGTTCATTCAGATAAATAACTATTAGCTTTCTATAATTCTTTACAAGCAATCAGTGGTGAATCATTAATTAAACCAGTAATTCACCAAATTTCTCATTGAAACACAGGAAAAATACATATCACTGTTTAAAGTGTGTTCAAAATCTTCCATTAGGTTCCAAGAAGCATTTAATGGTATCTGTCCTTGAAATCCCACTTGGTGATTGTGGATGGGCATACAGTGTAGTTTTACATATTAGGAAGGTAACCATTTACCACTGGCTCCCATTTACCAGGTATGATATTTTTTATAGACAACTCTAGGCGGGATATGTATGACAAAAAGGAAGAAGCTTGAGCATTTGATGGTCAAAACAAAACCTAAGAACGAAGTCTTAGCAGGACTCAGAGATGGTAGTTTTACTCTAAATATTGATTACAGGCATGTAGTTATGGAAATACTGAACATCAACTCTTAATACTCCTCTTGTGCACCATGGAAGTCATCATGGGATTGTATTTTAATCTGTAGTCAAATAATTCTAAAGAATGGAATTATTTTTACTATGTTTTACAAAAGCAGAGTGCTAACCTTTTTATGGAGTAGTGATCACTGGATTGTCTTCTTTATTAAAGATGAATTTTAGGTATAGATATTTTATACATACAGTGAGGAACAGAAGTATTTGAACACCCTGCGATTTTGCAATTTCTCCCACTTAGAAATCATGGAGGGGTCTGAAATTCACATTGTAGGTGCATTCCCACTCTGAGAGACAGAATTTAAAAAGAAAATTCAGGAAATCGCATTGTATGATTTTTAAACAATTTATTTGTCTTGTACTGCTGAACATAAGTATTTGAACACCTAAGAAACAGCAAGAATTCTGGCTCTTAAAGACCTGTTACTGTGCCTTTAAAAAGTCCACCTCTACTCCACTCATTAATCTAACTTAGTAGCACCTGTCTGAGCTCTTTAAAGACACCTGTCCACCCCACAGTCAGTCAGACGCCAACTACTACCATGGGCAAGACTAAAGAGCTGTCAAAAGACACCAGAGACAAAATTGTGGAACTCCACAAGGCTCGAAAAGGGCTACGGGGCAATTGCCAAGCAGCTTGGTGAAAATAGATCAACTGTTGGAGCAATTTTTAGAAAATGGAAGAGGCTGAAGACGACTATCAGTCTCCCTCGGACTGGGGCTCCATGCAAGATCGCACCTCGTGGGGTATCACTGATGATAAGAAAGGTGAGAAATCAGCCCAGAACTACAAGGGAGGAGCTGGTCAATGACATGAAGAGAGCTGGGACCACAGTTTCAAAGGTCACTGTCGGTAGGACACTACGCTGTCATGGTTTCAAATCATGCATTGCACGGAAGGTTCCCCTGCTCAAGTCATCACATGTCCAGGCCCGTGTGAAGTTTGCCAATGACCATCTGGATGATCCAGAGGAGGCATGGGAGAAAGTCATGTGGTCAGAAGAGACCAAAGTAGAACTTTTTGGTCTAAACTTCACTCGTCGTGTTTGGAGGAAAATGAAGGATGAGTTGCATCCCAAGAACACCATTCCTACTGTAAAGCATGGGGGTGGTAACATCATGCTTTAGGGGTGCTTTTCTGTGAAGGGGACAGGATGATTGCACTGTATTAAGGAGAGGGTGAATGGGGCCATTTATTGTAAGATTTTGAGCAATAACCACCTTCCCTCAGTCAGCATTGAAGATGGGTCGTGGCTGGGTCTTCCAACATGACAACGACCCGAAGCACACAGCCAGGATAACCAAGGAGTGGCTCCGTAAGAAGCATATCAAGGTTCTGGAGTGGCCTAGCCAGTCTCCAGACCTAAATCCAATAGAACATCTTTGGAGGGAGCTGAAACTCCGTGTTGCTCAGCGACAGCCCCGAAACCTGACAGATCTAGAGGAGATCTGTGTGGAGGAGTGGGCCAAAATCCCCGTTGCAGTGTGTGCAAACCTGGTCAAGAACTACAGGAAACGTTTGACCTCTGTAATTGCAAACAAAGGCTTCTGTACCAAATATTAACACTGATTTTCTCAGGTGTTCAAATACTTATGTTCAGCAGTGCAAGACACATAAATTCTTTAAAAATCATACAATGTGATTTCCTGAATTTTTTTTTAAAATTCTGTCTCTCAGAGTGGGAATGCACCTACAATGTGAATTTCAGACCACTCTGTGATTTCTAAGTGGGAGAACTTGCAAAATTGCAGGGTGTTCAAATACTTCTGTTCCTCACTGTAGTTACATTGATCCAGCTTGGACCAATGTAACTATGTATATAACATGCCTAGATGATGCCCCTGGAAATCACTGAAGCAGACGCCACTACTCCAGTCAGAGAATTCTTTGCATTCATTTAGAAGGGGCAAAGCATTCTCTGAATGGCGCTTGTGTCAAATGGCTGACCTTCAGTGTTCAGAATGCAGCAGGGCAGCTGCAGAGGTTCCTGGAGTAGCAGTGTCTACTTCAGTGATTTGCAGTTTCCAGAGGCATCAGCCAAGATGGACCAATGTAACTATATATATAAAATATCAATACATGGAATTTATCTTTATGTTTTGTGAATTATTATGCCAACTTGTAATAATTCTTATATTCCTGTGCTTTTTGTTTTTTTTTTAACACAGGATGTAATTGGATGGTACAAGTTTCGGGATAACACAAGTCAGACAATGACTCTAAGGGAGAGACTTCTACATGAGAACTTGCAGATCAGCCTTTCAAATCCAGGTCTTGTATTTTTGTTAGTCACCTCACAGTGTACAACAGAGAGAGAATCGACTCATCGCATGGAGTATGCTTTACATAAACCACAAGACAGGCAAGTTCTGTTTATTAATTTCTTGTGCTAACAATAAGAATTGTGTGGGTGACAATAATGTTTGATAATGAATATTTTTTCCAATCTGAATCTTTAAGTCTGTAATTCTGTATACCAAAAAAATTGAAACTACAATATACAGCAACAGTATTGTTTTCCCCCCAAAATAGCTTTTTTTCTAAAGCATTCTTTGAGTTCCAATCAGTTGACTTTGTTTAGGAACATCTTGTCAGTATGTCGTTATCATTCTGTCAGTGAGAAGGAAAGCATTCCCAACTCCTGTCCAGTTGTCACCAACTGGGACTGTTGTAACTTTCTGGCAGCTCCCAAGTTGTTAAAGTGATATTAAATGTTCATGTTTTTTTTTTTTTTTCCAAATAACAAACATGTTATACTTACAGTGCCTTGAAAAAGTATTCATACCCCTTGAAATGTTCCACATTTTGTCATGTTGAAACCGAAAACGTAAATGTATTTTATTGTGATTTTATATGATAGACCAACACAAATTGGCACATAATTGTGAAGTGGAAGGAAAATGATAAATGGTTTTCAACATTTTTCACAAATATCTGAAAAGTGTGGTGTGCATTTGTATTCAGTCCCCTTTACTTTGATACCCCTAACTAAAATTTAGTGGAACCAATTGCCTTCAGAAGTCACCTAATTAGTAAATAGAGTCCACCTGTGTGTAATTTAATCTCAGTATAAATAGAGCTGTTCTGTGAAGCCCTCAGAGGTTTGTTAGTGAACAAACATCATCATGAAGGCCAAGGAACACACCAGACAGGTCAGGGATAAAGTTGTAGAGAAGTTAAAAGCAGGGTTAGGTTATAAAAAAAAAATATCCCAAGCTTTGAACATCTCACGGAGCACTGTTCAGTCCATCATCTGAAAATGGAAAGAGTATGCCACAACTGCAAACCTACCAAGACATGGCCGTCCACCTAAATTGACAAGCCGGGCAAGGAGAGCATTAATCAGAAAAGCAGCCAAGAGGCCCATGGTAACTCTGGAGGAGCTGCAGAGATCCACAGCTCAGCTGGGAGAATCTGTCCACAGGACAACTTAGTCGGGCACTCCACAATCTGGCCTTTATGGAAGAGTGGCAAGAAGAAAGCCATTGTAGAAAGCCATAAGAAGTCCCAATTGCAGTTTGCAAGAAGCCATGTGGGGGACACAGCAAACATGTGGAAGAAGGTGCTCTGGTCAGATGAGACCAAAATTTAACTTTTTGGCCTAAAAGCAAAACACTATGTGTGGCAGAAAACTAACACTGCACATCACCCTGAACACACGGTCCCCACCGGAAAATATGGGGGTGGCAGCATCATGATGTTGGGATGCATTTCTTCAGCAGGGACAGGGAAGCTGATCAGAGTTGATGGGAAGATGGATGGAGCTAAATACAGAGCAATATAAGAAGAAAATCTGTTAGTCTGCAAAAGACTTGAGATTGGGGCGGAGGTTCACCTTCCAGCAGGACAACGACCCTAAATACAGCCAGAGCTACAATGGAAGGGTTTAGATCAAAGCATACTCTTGTGTTTGAATGGCCCAGTCAAAGTCCAGACCTAAATCCAATTGAGAATCTGGCAAGATTTGAAAATTGCTGTTCACAGACGCTCTCCATCCAATCTGACAGAGCTTGAGCTATTTTGCAAAGAAGATTGGGCAAAAATTTCCCTCTCTAGCTGTGCAAAGCTGGTAGTGACATACCCAAAAAGACTTGCAGCTGTAATTGCAGTGAAAGGTGGTTCTACAAAGTATTGACTCAGGGGGGCTGAATACAAATGCACGCCACAACTTTCAGATATTTATTTGTAAAAAATTGTGAAAACCATTTATCATTTTCCTTCCACTTCACAATTATGTGCCACTTTTTGTTGGTCTATCACTAAAATCCCAATAAAATACATTTACGTTTTTGGCTGTAACATGACAAAATGTGGAAAATTTCACCCTAGGTTCACATCTGTGCGGGTGGTGCCACTGCGGATCCGCATGAAAATCCGTGCACCCGCACAGAGAAATGCTGACCCGCGGGCGGGTGCCATTAGTTCTAATGGCACACCGCTCATACTGGAAAACGCAAACGTACTGGGAACCGAGGTTCCCGTGCAGGCTGCGTTTTCCAAAGAAGTGCAGGAACTTTTTCCCTGCGTGTCATGGGCACGAGAATCCATTCAAATAAATGGGCTCTTGTGCCCGTGCAAAATAGGTGTGAACCGGGGGTCAAGGGGTATGAATACTTTTTCAAGGCACTGTACCTGCTCTGTGCAATGGTTTTGCGCAGAGCATTCCTGAGCCACCTCCTAATCAGGTCCCCCATTGGTGCTCCAGTCCCCTCCCTCCTGCCTAGTGCCTCCATAGCAAGCAGCATGCTATGGGGACACCTGAGCAGGGTCACTCCCAAGCTGCTGCTCTGTCTACTGAGCCTTTACAACCACTTTAAGGAGCGGCTTCTTGCTGCCTCTCATTACTTTACGTGTGCACTTATAGACTACCTATACTAGATGCCTATCTGTCATGCTGGTCAAATGGCTTTATTACTCTGTCACTGATGGAGAATAGGCATGGATATAATAACAGCCAGAACTCCTAATATGCATACTTGTTACAGGTTGCTGAAGCAATTTGATCAGCATGACAGCCAGGTAAACAGTATTTTTAGAATGGGAGGTCAGTAACAGTGGCGTCTATACACACAGGTTTTCACTAATAAAAAAAAAAAACCTACATGAAGCTAGTTAAAAAACAATAAGGAAAAATTGCACTTCTCATGTCAACTATTGATTCTGATCTTCTGATTCAATTATGAAAACCGCTTGAATATTCTGTTGTGTTGCTGCAATTCTTGATTCTCCACTTGTTTGCTGTGTATATTATAAAAGAATCTCAAATCCATATTCCCATTCCATGTCAGAGGGATCCAGCTGTCATCCATGCAGTATTCCAGCATCCATCAGTGTATCTTAGACATAGCAAGTGACAAATCGCATTCTTCATTGATTGTACTTAAGTTCCCATGCACCACTTTTCTTCTTTTCACTCACCTCTTTGAAAGTTCATGTTTCGGTAACATTAGATGTTTGACATACACAAAATAATGTACTTTATTTTTCGTTTCAGTGATTGTCAGAAAATTCCTCTAATTATTGCCAACCTTGGAATGTCAGAGCAACAAGCATACAAAACCTTATCTGGATCATGTGTGTCTCTTGGATTCAACCAAGCTGTTAAAAAGCATAGGTGGGCATTAGGTTGTTTACAGGTAACAAACAAATCCCTGCATTTTTGCTTCTGAATTTTAGATAAAGGACATTAAAGCAGAGCTCCAGTCTCCTATTTAAAAATCGAAAGTCCGCAGCTACAAAAACTGTAGCTGGCTGCTGACTTTTACTAAACAGCCACTCACTTGTCCTGCGTTCCAGCGCTGTGCTCAGGCTAGCCATTTTCACCCTGTGTCTCTTTCTCCAGCATCTTTATTATGGGCACCCAGCTGTGACTACACACTGTGAATAGTCTGACAGGGACCTGTAATGTGACTGCAGGGGGGGGGAGGAGGGGGGGGGGGGGGGGGGGGGGGGGGGGGGGGAGGAGAACTTCCACTTCTGATCGCCTAGGCTGTGTGAGTATCTATTAAAATTGGGATAAAGGTTTAATATGCAGTAAATAAATAAAAACTGACCCCCCTATCCGTGGCAAATGGTTTTTCTCAGCAGCCCTCTTACTGCTACATCTGCAGAACAGCTTGTTCTTTTGAAAAAGTTTAAGTTTGAAAATGTACATTTTTAAAGAATCACACACATCTACTTCCTTGATTTCCATGGCCCATATTTACTATGCCCTTTGAGTAGGCAATGCTGTGTCACATTTTGCAGGACTTGGCTTCTGAACTACAGAGTGCTGGGAGGAAGAGTTTGAGGGAACAGTCAATACAGGAATCTCTGCTTGCAGGCAGCATGTTATCATGGGATATGTAGGCGATCTTTGAAAACTCACTTATTCAGGGAAGCCTACTCCACCTCCACCTAAGAACTGTACCTGAATCACCTCTATCAGATCATCCCCCGGCAGCTATCACCTTTTGTATCACCTCCCCCTTCCTTTAGATTGTAAGCTCCACGAGCAGGGCCCTCATATTCCTTCTGTACTGAAATCTATTGTAATTGTACTGTCTCCCTTATATTGTAAAGCGCTGAGCAAACTGGCAATATATAAATCCTTTATAATAATAATAATGTAGTCTGCAGAATAGAGTATTGCTTCGACCTAATTAACATTTCTAAATGTTCCCTATAACATAGAAAAACCTAACTTTATAATTGTAGGCAATCTTATTTTTTATCATTAAAGCTTGGACTTTTTTCACAAAGATGGAACTGTAAAGGAAGTTAGTAAAATTACAGCTATGTGTACAAGTCTACAGGAGGAACTAAAGGTAAGCTGTGCCATAGAAGCAAGTCTGATTCCTCTTGTTGTTTTCATTAATGTGTAAAGGTGGCTATAGATAGAAAAATATGGAATATTTGCAGAGCATATGATCACAGAATGACCAACCCTCAGAATACTGGGAAGATTTTTTTTCATTTTTTTTTTTTTTTTTTTTTTTTTTTTTTTTTTTTTTTCATTTTTGACCAAGCATGTGCAAAATTTATTGCTATATAAAATTATGCACATGCTAGGTCAATATGGAATAAATGCCTTTCTGCACCTGGCCACTAAAGAGGGGGTTTACTCCTAACCTACTGAAACTTCATGAAGCCAATTGAAACCTTATATAACACAGCGCTTAGTGTTAACTCCTCCATAAATTCTCAAACAATTGACACAACAAAAGAAAAATTACATCTTTAACCACTTGCCCGCCGCCCCATAGCAGATGTACTGCTACAGGGTGGCTTCACTGGACAAATTCATGTAGATATACGTGATTGTGTATTTCTGGGTAGGAGGAATGTGTGCCGGCCTACCTGCGCTGCTATTGGCTTCTGAGGATGTCAATCACCGGGTCCCAGCCGGTGATTGTCATCCGAACGTCGGCAAAGATGAGAGGAGAGAGATCTGTGTGTAAACAACACAGATTTCTCTCCTGTCAGCATGGACGTGCTGCTTTCTATCTCTGCACAGCAGAGAGCTAGAAAGATGCAAGTCTCCTTGGTAAAACACAACACAAAAACACTCCCTAACACAATTAACCCTTTGATTGCCCCAGATGTTAACGCCTTCTTGTCCAGTGTTTTATATTAGCACTGATCACTGTATTCGTGTCACAGGAGATGTCAGTGGCAGTTAGTTCCCACCCATTCTCAGAATGCCTGCCGCACTCTGGCTATAAGTCGCTGATCGCCGCCATTACTAGTATAAAAAAAAATTAAAATTCCATTATATATACCGCCATTTGTAGACGCTATAACTTTCACGTAAACCAATTAATATACACTTACTGTGATTTTTGTTTTTTTTTTTTCTGCAAAGACATGTAGCAGAATACATTTTTTAGCCTAGATTTATGATGAAATCTTATTTATTTTTATTGGATATGTTTTTTATAGCAAAAAGTTTTATTTTTTTTTATATATATATATTTATATATATATATAAAATAATATTTTTATTGTTTTTGACATTTTGGTGACATTTAACTGTTGTGTATGTCATGCACATGGACAAAGTTAGGGATAATTACTGATATCTAGTGTTCAGATAGAGTCCCCCTCCCCCTTTAGTAGAAGAGAGGTAGCCTAAAACATGTCAGATTTTTTTTGCAACTGTCACCCCTTTTGCATTGTATCTCATTTTGTTTTCTGGTAGGTGGGAGAAACTCTCCAACTGTATTGAATACAGCTCAATAAAAAAAAAAAAAAGATACATATACCCGACTGGACAGAGTAGTGTGGTAATGGCCTGTCAGTAGTTTTCTTGTTTTTTTGCGTCTTAACTTGCCTTCTTGGGGATAGACATGGTAGGAAGGAGTAGGAATCCAGAGGATTTACTCCCCTTCTTGACCAGGCCATTTTTTGTGTTATGGCGCTGCTTTACTTTAACAATTATGCGGTCATGCAACACTGCACCCAAATGAAATTTACGTCTTTTTTTTTTTTTTTTTCCCACGAATTCAGCTTTCTTTGGGTGGTATTTGATCACCTTTGCAGTTTTTTTATTTTTTGCGCTATTTAAAAAGAAAAGATCGACAATTTTGAAAAAAAAAAAAATATATATATTTTTGACTTTTTGCTATTAAACATGTCCAGTAAAAAAAAAATCAAAATTTCCTCAAATTTAGGCCAAAATGTATTCCGCTACATCTTTGCTAAAAAACAAAAAATCCCAATATGTGTAAATTAATTGGTTTACATGAAGGTTTACAAATGGCGGTATATACACTGGGGTTTTTTTTTTTTTTTTACTAGTAATGGTGGCGACCAGTGCTTATTGCAGGGAGAACTGTATTGTTTACTAACAGTTCTCCTCCTCAGTTGGAGATCTTCGGCAATCGCGCAGGGGCGTCTGAAAAAAATTAATCACGATTGGTGGCGCAGGTAGGGTGCACGCCCCCTACCCAGAAATGATTTTTATTAAAAAATTTTGGCAGCCATATAAGTCGTGTGTGTATATATATCTGTAGCATGATTTCTGCTATGGGGCGGAGCTGAAGTAGTTAAGAGATCTTTCTACAGTTAGGGGATATGCTGTTGTAGGCAGCTGTCACCAGAGCATGTGTACCCTTTGTGATTTTTATATGGCTGATAGAAAATAATGCAGTCTGTACCTGGTTTATACCTATTACTGTTCAACAAATTTTTATTTTTTATTTCACATTCTGAGTTCAAATATAACAATGAAATTTGTCAATTGGCTCTGTACTATATAGGCGTAATGACTACATAATGCAATAATTATATAGATAGATGTCTTTCCACTGCATAATATATTGCATAGGATTACCAAGAAAAATTATAGCCATAAGCTAAGTTGAATCATTTTAATACTTAGGATTCTCACTAGTTTTGTCTTCAGTTTGTGTCGGTTTTGCTTCTCTTGGCTTTTTCTCTTGTATTCGAGGAAGGGCTATCTCTTACAACTGCTGTGATACACGCTTCAGGTTTTCCTACTTGACTCAACCACAAAGGATTCTGGTGCTTTATTGTGAGGAACTGGATTTTGCCGATGGAATATTTGGATAGTGCACAGATAACCTTTTCTTCTTATTTAGCCCTTTTACAATTGGAGGCACCATTAACAATTACTATGATGCTTCTCCAATTCATTGGCACAGCGAAAGGCATAGTGGGCCATTGCTCCAGTGCCGTCCCACAAGAATTGCAAATAATGTGGTGCAGCTCTTGTCCTGGTCTCCTATCTTGCAGCCAAAATACTGGCTTTCTTAATCATTCCTGTTATCCTCCTTTTTTGTGAGATAAAAGTTATTTCACCGCAGATATAGCAGAAATTATCTGCTTTATTCACCAAGTTCGAGGCAGTAGCCTATATATAAAAGAAATGTAAAGAGCTGTGAACTACAATCGCAGATACTGCAGCTTATGCAGTGTTGATGCTAGGCTAATATTGTCAGTATACTGCAATTTTCTATTGGTCACCAGTATCAATTGTGCAAATGCAGCTGAAGTTGCATCATAATTTTGAATGGCTTACGTCATTAGATGGGTGAATATAACTGGAAACTAGAGCCAATCAATCTCATTTTCTGCACCCCAAAATTATGTAAGATTAGTTAATTTTTATGCCCAAACTTTTTTACCTGAGAACAGTGTTTTCAAAACCGGGCAGGATTATAAAGTTTAGTGTGCGCTCCATTAGTGGTGATCTACAAATGCATAGTACATATAAAATGTGAAATAAAAATTCCTATAAATCTATTTGCACTGAAATTACAATTTTATATTTAAAATACATGAGTATAGGCCTAATTAAAATTCACTTTGTAAATTTGATATGGTTATCACTGTAAATAGGTACAGTCCAAGTAACTTTTTTTTCTTTTATAATTTTAAAATTGTTTCATTTCTTACTGATGATTGCTACATTCTCCTATTCATATGCACCAACAGCCTGTGTTAGTGAAAAGTAACAGCTTGCTATGTCTGTAGGAAACTTGCTCTCGTGTTGTAGAAAGTGAATATTCTGTGGAGCAACTGCTACAACAAGTTCACCAACTAAAACAGCAAATTGCAGAAAAGAAAAAGCTTCTTAACAAAGGTAATTTTAAATTTTCTAATACTGCTCATAACAACTAACTTTCAACAGGCTTTCAGGATCCCACATTTAGCACTCCCAGAATGGAGCTACTATGTCTGCTTTAAAGCTCAACTCTGTCACCACAATTTTTATACTTAACGGTTTCATTTTTTTTTATTACTGGAATCTGTACCTCCACTGTGATTACGCAAATGCCCCATTTACTTTCTTTGTAAAGTACTCTTCTGCAGTACTTTACAAGTAGTGACAAAAAAAGCACAGCTTTTAATAATAAAGGGCTGGGCTATAAAAATATTAGGCCTTCTGAAAGTATAAGGCTCCGTGCACACTGATTTAAAAAAAAAAAAAAAACGCTGCTCTTAGAGGAATTTAGCATTTTGTCTGTAGAAACCAACTAATATTATCCTGTGTGTCCAAGCACATTAGGTAGTCTAAATGCTTTTTTTTTTTAAGCTTACTGTTTAGAGGCAGAAAAAAAAAAACTTCTGTTTTGCGTCTTTGAGAGCGTTTTTCTGGTGCTAGTACAAAAAAAAAATACAAAATTAGCATTTTTTTTTTTTTTGCCAAAAGCACTGGCATTTTTCTAAGCCAGTGTGCATGGAGCCTCAAAGGTACCTGGAGCTGGGCTTTAAGGACTTCAAGAAATCTGCTTGGCACTTGCTAAATGTGTTCTAACTCAAACTGAGACATAATGGTTTTCCACTGAAGACACTTTTAACCTCCTTAGTGGTTTTCCCGAGTGTAGCTCGGGGTAAAATTTCAATACCAAGAGCGGTAACCCCGAGCTACACTCGGGCTTACCATGCGGCGTTGCTCAGGGGGTCCCTACAGCACTTACCTTGTCCTTCGCTCCCGCGATGTGTCCCCTGCAGCGTCCGCGGCCATCTCCTCTGGCCGATGCCGGCATCCGGCTTTCGTGGTCCGGTCCCTGTGACGTCGGGACGTACGGGCACCGGAACCGACGGGAAATTTTTAAAACAGGTCATTTTTGCTGTCATTGCTGTTTCAATGCATTTCACATACATTTTGTCCCGAATGCTTTGTCCTATGCCCTGCCTGCATTTTGAATGTTCTTTCTGCCTGGAAACTGAGAAACGTCCATGGCGTCCAAAAAGCGTCCCTTTACGTCAATGTCCGGAATGTTTACTAGACTCTTGTTCGTACAGATTTCAGTGAGTTATTCCTAAAAATTACAGCCTACAATAAAAAAACTACATATTTCCATGCAGAATAATGGTACCGCTTTCATCACACAAAAAAATCGGAAAGAATCATACCGCCGAGGAGGTTAAAAGTAGTAGTTAGGTAGTAAGAAAATCCTTTATGCAGTAGTTTGAATTTGAACCCGTGAAGTCCTATTGATTCAACTGTACCCTAATTTCAAAGTTCAAGAAATAGATTTTATGGTAACTTAAAAAAATATTATCGTTCACATGAGGGACACGAGAATTCAGATACAGTCAGGACCAAAAGCAGTCCAACTGAGGTGTGGGCAACCCAGCGAAATCCACTAATGGACCTCATTAGCAGGGCTGGAAACTGCCTGAATCTGAAAGAAATAAGGTTGCTGCACAGGTACTGACTTAGAATAAACTCCCCAGGTAAAAATAGGGGGGAAAAGCACAAAAAAAAAAAAGAGAACTAACGCAGCTACCATATCTAAGGATTAGTAAGCTGTAACAGATTAAATTTTTGGTTTTGAGTTAATACGGCTTCCAGTGCTGTACATGTCCAACATTTTCTGTATCTTTTAAAGCTGGGAGGGAAGGGACGTCAAACTGTGGCAGAACTACAAGTCCCATCATTCCTCTGCAAGGCATGCTTGTAGCTGTCAGTCTTGCAGTGCTTTATGGGACATGTAGATCCACAATAGCCAAAGGGCCACAGTTTGCCCACCCGTTTTAAAGTGTTATCTTATTCAAAGCTTTCAGTAGACGTAGATGCTAGACAGTTAAGCAACTTGCTGGGTTTCATATATTGCCTGGAAACTACTGGTGAGATCTTTGTGCATGAATCTACACCCATCGTAGCCATTATGGGAGGGGGATTCTGCTCTGTCTTCTAGATATTTTTTCTGGTATATTGTAATAAGTGAAAAATGAAGAGCTGAAACATGTGCACGTGCCATGTGTGTAGAACAGCTGCAAATTCACTACAATAAGATGATCTCACTGCTGTAGTAGCCAGGATATGTAATAAGAACCAAGGTCTGCCTAAAACTATACCATTTAGGTTAATTTATTTAAAGGCACCCAAACCAAGTTTTGAATAATATATAAATTTTTATTTTTCAGATGAGGAAAATCCTGCAGCCCCAGAAGAAAATATTTTCCTGTGTCAGGCTTTGCGCCATTTTTTCCCTCACTCTGCTCTTCTGCAGTCGTGTTGCCTCACTTTAAATGGTAAACTAATACCATACAACTGTAATACTTACCATAAAACCGCAGAGATGGATAAACTTACCTTAATGATCGAAGAATGTGACCTGCCAGAAGTATGCGTCAGGAAAGCTGGCAAGCGAAAGAGACTACCACAGAAAAAGAGAGCTGGTTTTCCATTTACAAGGACAAGAGCTTCTGCACGAGAAGCCAACCACTATGATGACAGAATATTGTTAAATAGTGGTACAGAAACAGAAGATGACTCACAACATTTAACAATGGACTCTTTAGCTTCACAATCGCCAACATTTTAATGGTTGGTTTCAACATCTTTTTCCCTATTGTATATAGAGAACCTGTTAGATTGGGTTTAGGGGAGATGCCTTTGATTTATTTTCCAATATGCACTCTGCAGGCCTGTCGTGCCTTTTATTATTTACCACTAGTGCATCGTTGACACAAAAGTATATCAGGTGTCCTGTCAGTTGATGTACACATGCTTGTTTTAGGTCAGAGTCACCAAGTGCAAAAAACACCACTGCACCATTTCTAACAATGTTCAGCACAACTGAGCATTTAGATCAGTTTGCTATAGCTCAAATTTTTTTAATTCTTAAACTATACATTGGTAGTCATGCAGAATGAATGGCAATGTAACAGATGAATTTAGCATGTTTGACCAACATGCAAAGATATCCAGCCCTAGAATAAGCACTTTGAAAAACAAAAGATGGGCAAAGTACAGTGTATGATGTATTAGAATAGTTGTATATAATTTTTTTAGTTCACTTATATATTGGAAAATAAGTGAGATTTATTTTTGGTTAAATAAAATAAGGTAGGTAGCTCTTTGGACAATATTATTTACTTCACCATAACTTTTTATGCCACTGCCTCAAAAAAAAAAAAAAAAAGTTACTAAGTACAGCAACGCAGAATAAACAGTCAGAAGCCAATTGAAAAACATATTTTTATTAACAAATTTAGGAGATTCAAATATTGAAAATCTTAGGGTCTTTGAGAAATGCTGGGTCCTTATATGTGACAGGCATAAAACCTGGAAGAGAACAAATAAACATATTTACATTGGTTTTTATGCTGTTGATGAGTTTAAAAAAAAAAAAAAAAAAAAAACTTACCCATAACATGTGCTTTTTTAATTGCCTTTGAAACAGCTTTTTGTTTTCTACTACACAACCCTGCAAGGAAAATAAAAATGTATAAAATCTCAGCAGTAAAGACATTTAGAGAGCAGATGGTGGTATGAGTCAACCCCTGTGAAATACCTCAGTACCATGACCTGTATATTGCAGCCCTTCATAAAATGTTGGCCCTCTATGTTGAGCCTGAATTAGTTCTCTGTGCTTTAAAGGATAAGTTCACCTTTCGTTACGATCAGACCGGCCCCCTGCTTTGACAGCTAGGGGAGGATCTTACCTTTTGCTGTGGAGGGCAGCGGTAGTTCATTCTTCCTGTAAGAATATCTGCTTGCTCATACATCCTGCACAGGCAAGCAGATATACTGACAGATCTACAGGAGATCTTCATGGCACCAGTGATCCTCTGATCGCTGGTGTAATGCTTTACAGGCTCCTGCAGATAAAAATAGTAAAAGCACAATATTTATTTTTTTTTTTTTTTTTTTTTTAACGGTTTTGCAAATAAAAAGTGCATTAATTTTTTTAACGCCTTCATGCCAACTGTACGCAAACAGGCGACCTCATTGGACTGGGATTTTTTTCTGTGGGGCCACCAATTTGCATACCTGTCTTTGTTCTGAGAGTGCAGCATGCTCCCAGCACGGAGACCAGGGTCTCACTGAAAGCCCTGGGTTCCGTTCTAACGATCGGGACCATAAATTCCTGATTCCGGGTCACCTGATCACTGTGATAGCTTCTGATTGTCTATCCCAGTGATCAGTCCCTGTGAAGCCCACCCCTGTGGTTTTTCCTCTGAGAATGGAGGAGAGAGAGAGATGCATTGTCTCTCTCTCTGTCCTTTCAGAGAGGAAAAAAAAAGTTTGTGTAAAAAAAAAAACTGGGGCAAGGTCAGTATATTTTGTTTATTTTTTTTAATACTGCAACTGACAAGATATTGTGCACCACTGTTTCTGGGCTATACTGCGACAAACAACAACTAACATACACATATGTGGTATTGCTGCAATCATCAGGAGCAGGATAAAAAAATGTGGGTTGTTTTTTGGTGGTAGGTTATGGTAATGGCAAGAATTATACAGCTAAATTTAAAAAATATATTTTTTTTTTAATTACTATTTTGGGCCAGTTTTCCTTTGATTAAAAAAAAAACGGGTGATATCCATTACCATTTACCATCAAATGAAAGCCCAATTTGTCCTGAAAAAAGTAAGGTATAATTCACTTGGATGCACAAAGTAGTTGTGATGATGTACGGTTTTGCTAACACATGTCAACGTTGCAAAATTGTGCTTAGGCGTTAAGATTTGTTTTACTTTTAGGTGTAGTCACACCAGCCTATTTTAAAAACATTTCTAAGTGTCACAGAAAGTTTGACATGTAAAAATGATGCTGGTTTTTCCAGTAAATTGTACCTCTTAAATGGAAACTTTTGATACTCAGGTGGGCAGTTTTACCTAAAATATATTTTCAATCTTGTCCAGCCTGTGTTAGGCTTCCCACACTCTATCACTGCAGCTTTCTGTGTCCCCTCCCAGGTCAAGCTTCATTACTGGATTGCAAGTCAGCAGAAGTTCATCTCCAAACATAACCCTCAGAACATGTTAGGTTGACTGAGCTATTTAATACAATACAGCCTGATTGTGTTAACTACATAACCCCTCAATGTCTGATTTCTGCTGTGTAGAGGCATATGGGAAGATTCTAGAAAGGGTTCAGGTAATTATATCAACATTACTTAAAACTACATCTAATGGTTACAAACACTGCAATAAAAAGCTTTCTGCTATATTTTTCTGTAAATCCATTTTAATGCACTGTTACCCAAAGTGTTGAAGTAATGCTACTAATGGTGTTCAGCGTGATTATGGATTTTATTGTGATACTGCCCAAAAAAGAATATTTTAATTCTAATGACTGCTGCCAGTTGAAGACACAAGATCTTCATGTTAATCTGCAGCGCAGAATGTCATTTTGGGAATGACAATATCTGGAATAGATGCTAAATCACAGTGAAGCTTGTCATCTCCTAGTATGCATGCTGGTAAACTCTTTGCAGTGACAGTAAATGCAGCTAAATAATTGTGGTAAAGGTGCAGCATTTTCTTTAACCAAAAAGCACCATATAGATTTCTGAAACACAAAAGCATCCAGGATCAGGCACACATTTATAAAATGTATTCCACACTAAATTACTACAATACATTAAAGCAGCCTAAAAATATCAACAGTTGAATTCCTTTTCTATACAGTTGATGCTAATACTGTAAACTTACAAATCTAAGCACACAAAAAATTAAATTATCTTTAATCATTTTATAAATTAGCTTTATACTCAAAGCCTGCTGGCTTTCTTCTGAGGACCAGGATTTTTACTGAAGAGCATGAATTGTTACAATAAAATAATTACCTGTTATATGCCTTCCATAAATACGACCCGTGTGCGGTGATACAAATTGGGATAGCAGCTATTGAAGATTAAAAAAAAGTATTGTAAATTAAAGTCAATGCTAAAATATTAGAATCAGACAATGTTCTAGTGATTCTGTAATGAACAGCATCCATATGCAAAATGCTAAGAGCAAATAACCTCAACTGTATCAATATAATCCAAAAGGACCACATGCTGTAATTTGTTGGACAGTTGAAGGTTTGTCTGTGAAGACATCATTGGTGTGTGACTTTTCCTTTGGATTATACTGAGCTACTGTATGTGTAAATAAGTAACAGACTCCAAGCCAGCACCTGATGTCCAAAGATATGAGGAAACTACGGGATCAGTGTACTTTTCTTTGACTCTACAACCTTAACTGTGTGATTTTTGCAAACCATCATTTTCATCCAAGGAGAGCTAGAATGACCACAGCAAACAAAGCTCTGTAAATCAATCTGAAGGGCTTAAAAGCAAAACCCCTATGCAGTAAGACATCACAACTAAAACGGGACCTTTTTAAAATGGATTTCATTAAAGTGGTTGCAAACCTCAGTCATTAAATATGAAATCTAGTGTGTATTTGTCTCAAGAGCAGTGTCATTTCTCTCTACTGCTTCCTTCCTCTGCTATCCACATGAATCACTTCTGTCAAATGTTCCTGACACCAAGAAAAAAAAAAAAAAAAAAAAGGTGAGAGGGGAGGGACCGCCAGCAGATTGATAACCTCAGCTCTGTTTCTTCTGTGTGAAGGAAGGTAAGGGTGGGGGGTGTCCCTGGGCTCAGCAATACATAATTTCAGCTCTCCGCCCCCTGCTTTCTGAACTCTGACAAGTTTTATAAATTCAGCACTTTGAACAGATGTAGAGAAGACTGCAGATAGAGGGGTACAACCAGTGGCGTCCCAAGGCAGGTGCGGTCCACCAACAGGTAAGTTGTAAAGCAAGTCGTTTGCTTTCTTTACAACTTACCTTTTCTTGGAGCGGGTCTGCTGTCACCCCGTATAGGATGCAGGGGCGTATCTACCGCGAGGCAAACAAGGCGTTTGCCTAGGGTGGAAATTTTTGGAGGGGGAGGAACCGCCCCCCAGAAGAAGGCTTATCTTGACTGACCTTTTACCTGTCTACCAAATGAATCATCACTTTTGGGTGGAATAAACCTTTAGAGCTAGTGCACACCACAGAAATGCAGTCCGGATGCTCGTTTTTGGTGTATTCTGGTTTCCCTCTCTTTTTCTTCAACTTAACCTCCCTAGCGGTCTGAATATGTCGATATTTCTGTGCTCAAAGCAGTACATTGTTTTCAATGGAAATATGTCGTTTTTTTTATTGTAGGCCTGTAATTTTTAGGAATAACTCACTGAAATCTGTCTGAACAAGAGTCTACTAAACATCCCGGGTATGATAAAATTCGAAACACAAAATCATAAATTATAATATAATAAAAATAATCATAAAAAATAATAAAATTCAATAATGTAATCAAACCAAAATCACTGAAATTTGAAATACATGCGTTCCAGTATGTTTTTGATGCATTTTATTGTTCTCCAGTACGGTTCAGTGCAGTAAAAAAAAAATCCAGCATGTTCAGTAATGTTTTCTATGTGATTTTAGTGTATTGAGTTTCTTTTCTCGCAGGGGAACGGAAGAAACACACGGAGGGAACTGACCACACTAATCGTGAACTATGCCATTGGAAACCATGTAACTTACTAAATCTGCGTTTTTTTGATGCATGCAAAAAAAAGCACTGAACTGCATGTGGTGTGAATGGCCTGGCCCTTAAACTATCTGCTTGTGGGAGCATCAAATAAGTTGAAATCAAAGTAAGCTCCAAGACCAATGATCCTTATGTACCCCTTAAACATTGTAATGTACAAAATATCCTGAAAAAAAAGAAGAAACATACCTGTACGTTCTTATAGTCTACTGGCACATCACACAAGATGCATTTTTGGGGGGGTTCTTGGAAAGGATTTTCCATTGCCTCTGGCTACAGACAAAACAAAAAAGACATTTATTTCTGGCTGCTATTTAATCACCATTATTGCTTTTCTACATGAATATGTTTCTGCCATACCACATTCAGTACAATAAAATGCAAGATAAGCACCTGAGACTTAAAGGTTCACAGAAGTCAGGCTAAGAAATACTTGTCAACCTATACATTCCCTTCGACAGTTTGAAGTGTCTGTGCTGCATGTCTTCAATCACTGGCTAGCAGAAATGGAAGTTTGACACCAGGAGAAAGGGGCTACTGTTAACCCCAGTTATATAGAACAGTAAAAGATGCTACAATAATAAGTGTACCAATATTAAAAGCACTAATCCCTTAACCACTTCAAGTCCAGACACTTTTACCCCCTTCCTGTCCAGGCCAATTTTCAGCTTTCAGTTCTATCACACTTTGACAATTGCGCAGTCATGCAACACTGTACCCCTATGAATTTTATAGCATTTTTTTGAGACAGATAAAACTTTATTTTTGTGGTATTTATTCACCACTGGGATTTTTTTTTTTTTGCTATATCAATGAAAAAGCCCAAAAATTTTGAAAAAAGTGTTTTTTCTTATACAATTTTGCAAATAAATCTTTATTCATAAAAATTGGCCAAAATTTATTCAGCTATCTTTTTAGAAAAAAAAAAAAAACCCAAATTAGTTTATAACCAAAAACTATACTTTTTCTAAATTTTTATTTAGATTTGTAATTTTATTATTTGTTTTTTTTTTTTTTACATAATCGCTACCCTAGCAGTAGTGTCACCATAGTGACACTGTACTACTTCTGGGGGGTGAAAAAGCAATCAGGCTGTAAAAGCAATAATTTTTCCTTCTCTCTGGCTGCATTCTTGCAGCCATTGAGAAATACTGTGTGAACTGTGATTGGTCACAGCTTCTCACATAGTACAAGGCTGTTGTGAATAACCTTGTACCATGTGATCTCTGTGATTATTCACAGATTTCACACGTAGTAAGCAATGATGGCAGAAGTGACATCTTGTGTACTACTCTTGTGATCACTGATTAGCCAATCAGTGATCACATGATCGGGACCTCACACAGAGGTCCTGTACAAAGATCGGTGTTCTGCTGTGTCCGGAGGACACAGTGGGCACCGGTTCGCGGTGCTGCGTGCTCTCAGGGAGCACATACAAGCAGGAAGGACATTTGTAAAGAGCCACCCACCCCTGCACTGCTCCCGTCCGGCCGTTTATATACATGGGACGGGCGGGAAGTGGTTAAACCTACCAATTAGTGCATTGTAAAAACATCATTGTGAAAATGTGAACACAATATATATATAAATAAAAAGACTACTACTCTGTCTGATAGGGCCAGCATGCGTTCCAGGAACGGATTCCAGAACACCGGAAGTGACACTCAATAGGGACCTGAAGTGATAACAACGGCCAGGTCTCAATGCATTTTGTGGAATTGCATCATCAGGAAACTCCCCATTGAGTGTTACTTCCAGTGTTCTGGAGTCTGTTCGTGGGCTGTCTTGTCTTGCATACTTTTTAATAAAACTTAGTACACTATGGGAGGCATTCTTTCTCTTTGTATGTGTGTATTGTTATAAAAGCTGTGGGTCTGAGAAGGAGATACTGGTAAGATTGGCCGCCTTTATAACACAGCCTGGTTTACATGATATGCCTGAATTGGAACTAGATCTGGAGATCCTGGTGATGTCTGTTCATTACTTGCTCTGATCATATGATAAGCGTGGATTGTGATTGGATCTGGTAAGCCTTTCATTTTACCGCACCTTGGTGGTGAAGAATGATTGTTTATCGCATTGGGTACAGGTGTTAGGTACATGGTTGGAATGCCGATATTTTGAAAGGACAATCAAGTTTTATATAGACATTTTGAAATGTTTTGAGTTGTAGTGTTTATAGATTTGTGTTCATACATTTTGTATTAAAAAAAATTTTCACGTGATTTTGTAGGTGTGGATGGCACCACCTGGTGTACTCATTACAATAATAAGTGTACTTTGGTTATGTCTTCTCAGCCAATAGGGTGTGGATCACTCTTCAGGCATAACTGCTGACTGGCTCTGCCTGAAATTCAGACCCCGTGTCCTTCTGACAGAGGTTACATAACCATTGCTTGAATATTGGCTGTATGACAAATTGCTGACTATAGCTAGATTAATGCAGACAAAGCACCAGGTAGGTTTTTTATAACTTTCACGTATCAAGCTTACTGACGTTTAACATCTACAACTGCCATCCTATCCTTATGAAAATACTGATTGTCTTCACACTGCTTTCCTGAGTTGTCACTCCATCACCTGTGCCTCATGTGGAGACTAAGTGGCTGCTTTGGGCTCACTGCATGTTCTGCTGTTGTCACCATCTGGAAGCCAGCTCTAAAGAATAACATGCAGCCACTGGTGATGCACATAGTAAGTGGCAGCAAACAGGCAGCAGGAGAGTGATAGCACTGAAATGCAAAGAATAAAAAAAGGAGGTGGAGAAGGTATTTTCCTAAAGAAAAAACTGATACACAGTGTTTAATAATACACACCGACCGATGCAGCTCATAAAAAAAGACTAACACCATGGGAGTTATTGTGTGAATATTTACTTAAATTATTCAGTGAAAGGCAAACTCCTGCTAACGTATTTCATCTGCATACGATTGGAAGACTGAAATGACTGTTCACACAATTTATTGTATGAAGATTCTCAACATTCTAATATTTATAAAGGTCTGCTTAAGCTCTTTCCTATGTTCAGGAGCTTTGACCACCAAAGAATTATCCGGGACACAGTAGCAATGTAAGGACCAGCACACAACCACAGCAAGCAGCAGGGGAACAGGTATCTGACACTTCCCAAAGTGGCACTTGAAGACAGCAAGGATTCAAGATAGAGCCTGCTTTTAAGATAAATATTATACACATTTGTTTTTATTTTTTTTTTGCAGGCAGGTTTTATTGCAATATTTTTTGTAGTAATATCACTTTAAAACGTATCTGAGCACCACAAATAGAAAATGCTATTTAATTCATTTTTAATATTTAAAGTGATTCTAAAAGATTGTTTTTTTTAAATAACAAACGTCATACTCCATGTCAATTCTCCTCTTCTACACCCCCCCCCCCCCCCCACAGCAAGCGATTTCCATTTACACCCATAGTGTGGCTCAGCCCTGCCTCCCACTCTCTCCTCACAGGCTGGGATTGGCAGCAGCAGAAACAAATGGCTCCCGCTGCTGCTTCCATATCCTGTGAGAACAGAGAGAGAGCAGGGAAGATCTGCACTCAAGCACAGCACTGGAACAAGATTGCACTCAGGAAAGTATGGGGGTGGGGAAGGGGCTGCACACAGAAGGTTTTCTAACTTAAAGTGTTACTAAAGGCAGAATTTTTTTATTAAAATAAAAAAACATGTTATACTTACCTTCTCTGTGCATAGAGCCGCCCAATCCTCCTCTTCTCAGGTCCCCCCACCAGCAATCCTGGCTCCTCCTCTACTTTGTGTGTCCTCATAGCAAGCCGAGTTGGGGACAAATGTTACATGCTCACTCCCGATCTGTGTGTCTATGGAGCTGCACTCCATAGACACACACAGCGGGACTTAGCCCAGCCCCCCACTTCCTCTTCACTGCATTCGACTGACAGCAGCAAGAGCCAATGGCTCCTGCTGCTGTTCAAGTCTCTGTGTGAAGTGAAGCGATGGAAGAAGAGATGGAAGAAGAGATGCAGCCGTGCATAGCGGTGATCTCTTCCCCTCTCTCTTCTCCTTCACGCAGGGAAGGGAAAGCACAGGGAAACTAAACACTTTTTTATAACTTAATGCAAGCAATGCATTAAGGTAAAAATGTTTTTAGGTTTAGTATCACTTTAATGCATCTGAGAAACCTTCTACCTTTTGAACCATATTAAAGCCAAACTCACCCCATCCATCCATGTCTCCAATAACAATACCTAGTGTTTCTAGCCATGGCCATCTTGAGTAAAGAATAAGGAAGATAAATTCTTCCACGGCTGCCATTATACCCCTCATCTTCTATTAAAGACTCACAAACCTTTTGGACTATATATGGTCACTGTTCTATTTCAGTGCCCTTTTTATTGCTTTTATATATTGGCTAAAAACTAAACATTTCCTGTTTCCATCTTGAGTAAGGGCAGATGATTAATGTAGAATTTACTTCCTGGAATCCATCTGCCTTTAGCTCAGGCATGCAGACAGGAGGGTGTGCTTAACTGGGAAAGCCCCTCCTCCAGGTGAAGGGAAAAAAATGCCCATAACATTTCCTGTGATGTATTACATAATTTTTGTCTAGGCCAGAAACCAGGAAGCAACTGAAGAAATGTAAAAAATAAAAACTTATACCTTCCTATCAATTTACCAATGCTAGAAGCATAAGGATTAAAATAGTTCATTTTGACAGAGAGTTTATTTCCATGTTAAAGAACAAACACCACTGCCTTACCGTATTTATGATGGACTATCTTTATACTTACCCTGTCATTATTTTTATTTTGCAAACTCTGGCTGTTGTCTGGAGTTACTATAAAGACAAATTAAACAGTTATAAAATTCCATTCCAAGGCTTGTTTCTAGTTATATGAGCAAGGAAATTATTTAACACCTCAGTGCTAATGTTGTCCACACTGTATTAGTGCACATATCTATCCTCTTGATGTACATGAACACTCCTGTACTACTGAAATGATGAAATAAATAAAAGGCAATGCACATAACATGCAAAAAAAAAAATGTGTAAATTAACATTTACCACATCAGAAGAAACCTATTTAAAGAGGTAAAATCAAGGAGCACTTCATAATCTCCCCTCCATGGAATCAAACTTGCTTTCCTCTAATGAAGCCCATGTAACGATATGTGTCTGGTGGGGCTTGGACGCACATTGGTACACACCTGATACTGAGACACTCTGTTGGGCCTCCCCACACTCCAAAGACATGCTGGTGGGTTGGCTGGCTCCTGTCTAAATTAGCCCTAGTAAGTGCATGAATGCGAGTTAGGAACCTTAGAATGTAGGCTACTTGAGGGCAGGGACTGATGTGAATATGCATTATGAGTAAAGTGCTGTGTACATTGTTGGTGTTATATAAATACCTTAATAGCCCATTCACACCAGCAACTGCAAGTTACTGCACATTTTTTCCTTGTACCTCTATATGTGTTTGATACGCATTTTTCATGCAGTTGACATGTGTTTACATGCAATTGACACACGCTTTTCTGTCTATAGTCATACAGACAAAATCAGTCATAAACTTGTATAGAGACAATAAAATCATGTGGACTCTAGAGCACACTGGTATTATTCCAGTATAAATGTAAAGATGGAAGTCAATGAAAGCATACCAGCTGGGAATTGCACATGGATCATACCGACAAGCCATCCATCTAAGATCATTCCGTATCGGCCTCTGTGTGTTGTAAATTACCTAGAGCAGGGGTGTCAAACTGGCGAACCTCCAGTTGTTGTGAAACTACAAGTACCATCAGGCCTCTGCCTTTGGGAGTCATGCTTGTAACTATCAATCTTGCAATGCCTCATGGGACTTGAAGTTTGGGAACAGCTGGAGGGTCACCAGTTTGACTCCTGTGATCTAGAGAGATTCAAGGGAATGGACGTGTCATGTGGGGTCCCGGAGCCCAGAGATGACGTCACCAGCGGCGCCGTGGATTACAGGAGATGGCACCGCTCGGCTAGAATCCCAGCAGCTCAGTGGCTATGACAAAGGATGGGGGAGGACTCATGAACACACATTCACCAATGGGATAACACATTTTAAAGCATCCTGCTTCTTTGTCAAATCCCTGGAAGCAGGATGCTTTGAAACACGTTATCCTATTGGCCATCTCCTGTCATCCACGGCGGCGCTGGTGAAGTCGTCTCTGGACTCCGGGATGTGATAGTGTGAAAGACAAACTGACAGTAACTTGACACCTGGGGGGGGGGGGGGGGGGAACTACATGCCACAGAAATAAATTCAGTGATAATACTATACACTGTTGCTGTACTCAGTGGTGTGTAAATTGTTGAAAAAAAACTACTTGTCCAGGGACTAAATCGGTGTCCCAATCTGCTTGTCCCTCAAGGCAATCTACCTTTCCTGATAGAAAATTATTTTTTTAACAAAAACAGTATATAAATCTGCTTCAAGTAATGTCTGTGGCTTTTAAAAACAAAATGGGCTTTATGACAACTTAAACATTTAATATTTGTAACATTGCGCTGTTTATCTCCTCCTCCCCTCCCTGCCTGTCTCCAGCAATGGAACCAAAGACTAGCAGGGAGGGGAGAGACCTTGCAGTGTAATGAGCACCGATTGGATGCTCATCAGGAAAGGGGAGTGTCCAGGTTTATCCTTTATCCCTTTTGCTGCCAGAGCCATTTTTGCGTTTTTTTTTCACAAGTTTAAAAAAATAATTGAAGGCCTGTAGATTACACAAAACTCCCAAAACATTGTATATTTTCTGAAAGCAGACACCCTAGAGAATAAAATAGTGGTAGTTCCAATTTTTTATGTCACACAATAGTATCACAAAGGTCGAGGAAACGAAAAAATTTCAGTTAAAAATACACGTAACGTTAATTTTAGGGCACAAAAAGCAATAAATTATCCAATTTTTTTGTAAAATATAAAACATGAGGTTGCAGCAAGTAAATAGATATCCAACATGTCAAACCCTAAATTTGTATTCGCTCGTGAAATGGCGACAAACTTCAGTACCCTATATTTTCAATAGGTGACGCTTTTAAAGCCCCTTATAGGTTATCAGTTTAGCGTTACAGAGGGGGTCTGCTGCTAGAATTATTGCTCTCATTCTGGCGAGCGCGGCGATATGTAACGTGTATCACAATCGTCGTTTTCTTGCGTAGGCGCCCAAATGTGTGCTTTTACGTTTGTACGTGCATACATATGGGGGGGGGGGGGGGGGGTAATATGCTTGGGTGTAACTTCAATTTTTAAAAAATAAAAAAAAATTATTTTTACTTAACTTTTTTTTTTTATTCACATATCATATAGAATGCGTGAAGGTAAAAGAAACCTCGAGCCTTTAGAACCACTGTGAGCCCAACTATGTGTAATGTGTGCTGATTTTACTACTAGATTTCTAGGTTTCCAGTGATGAAAAACACAGAGATCCTTCCCTGTGCACAGAGCTCGGTGTTGATTGTCAACACAGAGCTCTGGGCTGTGAATGCACAATCACAGGTCCCAGACGTGATTCATTGGCTGGGACTTGCTGACAGGCTCCTGCTGTGTATAATCATAGTGGGTGCTGGTCAGGCGGAAGCGTTTGTGCATGCCCGGAGGTAGGCAGCGATGTAGGGGTACATCACTTTGCCTACAGCGGCCGCCCGTCCGCAGTATATTGCGGGTGGTTGTTAAAGCGGAGTTGCAGCAGTTTTTGTGTTTATTAAAATCAGCAGCTACAAAAACTGTAACTGCTGACTTTAAATAATCACACAATTACCTGTCCAGAGTCCAGCGATGTTCTCACCCTTCTCTCCAGCTCTCCTCCAAGGTGCTGACATTTCAACTGTGGGCACCAGGCTGTGACAGCTTGCGGCTTCACGGCCGGGTGCCCACTGTGCATGCGCCTCCTAATTGGTCTGACAGTCTTCTGGGACCTGCGAAAATTCCCAGGAGACCGCGGGAGGGAGGAGGGGGCTGAATTTTCGGCTCACTTCGCTGCGGCGAACTGAGGCGGAAGTGGGAGTGGGTACCTGTCAAAAACAGGTATCTACTTTCCCTTACCCCCCCCCAAATGGTGCCAAATATGGCAGTGGAGGGGGGGCATACAAGCAGAGGTTTCACTTTTGAGTGGAACTCCACTTTAAAGCAGAGTTCCACTCAACCTATCAAAAAAGTCAGCAGCTATAAAAACTGTAGCTGCTGACTTTTAAAAAACAGCCACTTACCTGTCCCTTGGTCCTGCGGTGAGTCCCCCGCAGCTCGTTTCACTGGTCGTCCTGTATTCCAGGAGACCAGCATCTTCAGTGTGGCACCCAGCTGTGATAGCTTGCGGCTTCACAGCTGGGTATCCACAGCGCATGCACGAGCAGCTCTGCTCTTCATGAATGGTGCTGTAGTCTTCTGGGACCTGTCACGTGTACCAAAAGACTACAGGAAGGGAGGGAGGACACCTTCCGCTTCCAATCACCTAGGCCAGGGGTAGGCAACCTGAGAGCCGCAGGAGTACAAGTTCCATCATGCCTCTGCAAGTCATAGCTGTAACTGTCAGTTTTGAAATCTTTGCAATGCCTTCTGGGAAATGTAGTTCCACAACAGCTAGAGAGCCGCAAGTTGCCTACCCCTGGCCTAGGCAATCGGACCAGAAGTGAGAGCGGCTACCTGTCAAATTCAGGTACCCGCTCCCCAAAGGTGCCAATCCTTAATGGGGAGCAGTCCTTAAAGCGGAACTTCCCCTTTTGGGTGGAGCTCCGCTTTAAGTGGTCAAGGTGGAAGTGAAGTACACAAACAGTCACTTTCCCTCCAGCATGCAGTTGGTCAGCACCAATACTTTCTCCCCGGATTCTTATGGGCGCTGGGTTTTCAAGCACCTTTATTGGCTAGCAGGGGAATGAAGCAACTCCCACAATGCACAGCAGAGTACATTCCTCATCACTGAGGTGTGCCATCGATGTTCACCAAGCTGCACAGCTCAGTGTATATTCTACAGAAGACACATAGTGTCTGTGCTATAATAAAGAGCTGTGTGCTCACAATGCACCATAATGGAGAGGTGTGGAGGCGAACCTGCAGACACAGCTTAGTCTGCCCTGTGTGTACACTCTAGTAATACAAATGTCCACAGATCCCAGTGTGATTGTGTATGGAGGAGGCTCACCTGGGCTGGCTGTCCCTGTACTGTACAGAGTGACAAGTCGGCACCATGATGGTGACCCCGCTCTGCTCCTCGCAGCACCCGACAACAACCTAAACACCAGCATCCTCCTGCACAGCCTGTCCTGTGACCTGCAGAAGGGGGGGGGGTGGAAACCCAGCGCACTGTTTCCGGTCAGTGCACCGCTCCGACTCACAACACCGCTCCGTGCACTATAGTTCCGCCACAGACAGACTGACAGAATTTGTCAAGACCGTCTTACAGAAAAAAAAAAACAGAAATACATTAACTTCATAGAGAATAAAGTGCATTCTCTCATTAAAACGGATATAGTTTGTGTTTTTTTTTATTGCCCACATGAAAAATGGCTGCCTAGTAAATGAGGTCATTATCGTGCGACTCCTGGACTCCAACTATCCAGATTCAAATCTGCTCAGCCAATGGCGGGGGGTGAAGTACGGGTTTGGAAGCAGGGTTGAAGCCCGGCAGCGAGTTTATAGAGGTGAGAGAAAGGTGCTGGGATACATGTGAGCGGGAGATTAACCCCTTCTGAACCCTGCAGTGATGGCTATGGCTATGGAGCAGGCAGTAAACAGAGGAGCCTACTTGTAGCTGTAGTGTCTGCTCACAGGACACTTGTACTGCAGGGCTTTTGTTAAAACGGACTTCCAGTTACACTGAAATAAAAATAAAAGTCAGCAGCTATAAAAACTGGTTGCTGACTTTTAAGAAAACAGCCACTTACCTGTCCCTCAATCCAGTGGTGTCCGCCACACAGCCAGTTTCACCAGCCATCCGATGTTCCCGGCGCCGCCATCTTTAGTGTGGGCACCCGACTGTGACAGCTTGCAGCTTCACAGCCAAGTGCCCACTGCACATGCGCGAGTAGCGCTGGACATCCTGATTGGTCCAGCAGTCTTCTGGGACCTGTCACGTGTTCCAGAAGGCTTTGATGGCAACTTCTGCTTTTGATCTCCTAGGCGATCCCAGCGGAAGTCAGAGCAGGTACCTGTAAATTTTGGGTACCCCCCCACTCCCCAAGGTGCCAATCCCTAATGGGGAGCGGGGGACCAGTCTTTAAAGCAAAACTTCCCTTTTTGGGTGGAGCTCTGCTTTAAGGTGCCACTAAGGACGTTTTTACTTTGGGATAGAGTGGGGAGGGATTAGAAAACCTGTCAGTTTATATTGCTGTCTGTGCCCTCATTAGTAAGATTCACCCTCTCTATTTGTCCTGTTTATCATTATCATTGAAAGTAAAAGAAAATCCCAAATGTTGGGCTGTCACCAGAACAGAAATAGAGGGGAAATCTATCACTGGGGACACTAGTTCCAGTGACACCCTGAGGTTCTCCTCTCACTTGGAGGGATTTCCTCTCACTTCCTGGTTTGGCAGGGGGACAGGAAGTGAAGGGGAATCTCCCCAATGAAACACAGATGGCACAAAAAGTTGACAGGGGTTCTAAAATAAGTTTTGCCTTTAGTGATATTTTGAAGTGGTTGTAAAGGCTGAAGGTTTTTTATCTTAAAGGAAAACTGCGGGGTAGGCAAAAAAAATTGCCCATTAGTACACCCCCCTACGCAAAATACCTTACCATTGAAGAGAAAAGTCTAAATGAATTTTCAGGAAGTCATCTCTGTAATTAAAAAAAATAACAGCATCTGCTCTGCCAAGGAGGAGGTGTAACAGCAGGAATTACATCCTGTCCTCCCGTTTCTCTCTACAGTAAAAGGAAACTACAATTCCCATCAAACTCTGGGAATTGCATTGAATGTGGGTGGGTACACTAGGCCTGTACATGTTGAATGTGTACTCCCCCGCTTCAACATAAATCATGACCCCTCATTCTCCAGCCACACTGCTCAGCACCACACAGCAGGACAGTTGGGTGACAGTCTTATGAATGTAAAGCATGCATGTGCAAAATGTTTAGTTCGTTCTATGGAGTCTACTTTAACCACCTTCCGCCCGCCCTATAGTACAATGACGGGCACAAGGTGGTTCTCTCGTTCTGATAGGACATCAAATGACGTCCTACTATTCTCACTGCGCATGCGCGGCTCAGAGTGTGCGCAGCGCGGCGATCGCCGGTCCGCTGTGTCCCTCGCACACAGCGGATCACGGAAAGAGCCGAAGATTTCGGGTCGGTCATGTGATCAACTGTGTCCAATCACAGCTGATCACATGTAAACACGGAAATGCCGGTTATCGGCATTTCTCTCCTCTCGCGAGCTGACATGTACACTGATGATCAGTGTGCCCTGATGATCAGTGTGGCCCCAGAAGTGCCACCTGTCAGTGCTCATCAGTGTCAATGCCCATCAGTGCCACGTGCCAGTGCCCATCAGTGCCACATCAATGCCACATATCCGTGCATACCAGTGCACATCAATGCCACATATCAGTGCCCATCTGAGCTGCCTTTCAGTGTAACCCATCAGTGAAACATACCTCGATCAGCGGTTGTAGCTGCTGATCTATGTATTCTGTCAGTGGAGTCTCTCGGCTGTCAGAATACAAAATCCCAGTCCTCCATCCACCTCACCTTTACACCTTAGGCTCTATCTAAAGCTGTCCCAGTCCTCCATCCACCTCACTTTTACACCTTGGGCTCATTCACACTATTTAAAGCTGGCCATACACTGGTAGATTTGTGAAAAAAACAAAAGTCCGTTTGAACATTCATACAAAATTTCTCTTCAGTACTTTTGATGCCTTGATGAATGTTGTTTTGAAAGAAATGTAAAATTGAATTTGTTTTTGGAATGAATGGACTTTCCTGAATGGAAATCACATTCATTGTTGGAAATTTGTTTTTTCAAGGCATAATTATTCCCTTCCCTTTTTCATCCCCTTTAGTCTTAGCTTTCTATAGTAGATGATTCTATTTCAGCCCTTGGCCCCTGGAGGAACACCTTGTCCCTTCCCCACCAGCTCTTTCTTCCTAACATCCCTCCCTCCCCTTCTCTTCCTCTTGACCCCCATTCCCTGTTTTCCCTATCCCAAAGATTGGGAAGTTCATAATCCCCCATTTAGAACCCAGACAACTAACTGTTTCATTTCATTCCTGTGTATACCACGATCGTTATGCTGCATTTGTACACTGATGCAACGCTCCTTTGTGGACAACTCTGTTATTCTAGCTTACCTAGGAAATTAGTAAATAAAAATGGATTGAATCAGAAAGGATATATGGAGCCAAACATCCTTGTTTGTGTAGAATTTTACTGCGCTGATTTTCAGACTGAGCAATCCCATTGATTTCAGTTGGTTCCGCTAGATGGTTGTTCACTGTTAAGCAGGGCCAGCAAGAAATTGGAGCAGGATGCTTATGTCAATATAAATTTTGCGTGATCCTTAAGAGCCAAAAGAACAAACGCATCTTTGATTTTTTTTTTTATTGCTAGTGACACTCATTTCCTCTCCCTCTCTCCATTCAGGTGGACTTGGTTATGCTGGGCGATGGCAGTGATTGGTGTGTCATCAGAGGTCTAGGAGAACATTATAGGTAAGTTAATACAGGTGATGGGTGCAGGGGAGCTTTCAGCTACCTAAATATTTTATCCTCTTTTGCGCCATGGTTCATTCATTCTCCCAGAAGAAATTGAGTGGTCAAGTGCTGTCTAAATGTTGCATGCAACGTTCAGGTCAGTGCTCACCAACACACTCCACAGCAAACGTGTGTACTGTTCTCAGCAGATCCTTTCAACCCTGGCCATTTAGAGGTGATTGGCAGGTGTTGAAATCTTCTGTATAATATTTCCTATAAAAGTTGAATGTTATTTATTTTATTAAAACAGTTTGGTTTGCAAAAATACCACATTATGGCCACTAGATGGAGCTGAGAATAATATGAAATAAATATTTTTTTTTCTAGCTCCATCCAGTGGTAATAATGTAGTATTTCCATGAACCACTTTATTTTTCATGAACTAATAACTTTTAGGTGTCCTTTTATCATACAGTGGTAAATGACCGCTGCTCAGTTCTCCGGCATTCTCAGAGGAGACAGTTCTCCTCTGAATGCCTTTTTATGAAGCGGTGTAGGTCTCTTCTCCTAATGAGTAGAGAAGCGATCTACAAACGCTTTGAACACTAGAAAACGGCTGCTGTTACTGTAATCTCGCGAGATTACAGTAAGAGATCAGTCAAACACCGTTTACTAAGCAGCTTTAAATTATCGCTGCGTCGTTTGCGGTTCTCCCAATTCTCCACCTCTGGGCTGGAGGGAGAACACAGATTGCCAGTGAATGGATGACATCGCTCCTTCATATACTGACCATCTGTGTGCTGAGATAATCAGTGGAGAACATTCTCCGCTGATCATCTCTGTTTCCTAAACCACTAATGATCTGAGGTCAGCAACGATCCTTAGGATTGCCACTGATCTCTGTTTCATAAAAGGACACCTTAGCCTGTATAAGAGAACATTCAATTCAAAATCTGCACATAACAAGTGTACAAGCAGTTTTGCTTGATGAATTGCTATGCAAATTGTTTTGTATAAATACACCTACAGTGTTTGGTAGATACTGTAGAGCAGGGGTATCCAACTTTCGGCCCACGGGTCGCATGTGGCCCAAGATTGCTACGAATGTGGCCAAACACAAAATCGTAAACTTAACAATGTTGATTTTTTTTTTTTTGTATTTATTTACACTTAGCAAACACGTGGCTGAAGAAAACTTTGACATTATCGCTCTAGTTTTATCTTCTGAAAGAAAAATATCCAATTTTTCACAATCACGCTGTATTCATGTCATCAGTTTGCGGCAGCATTTATATTTGTGAGAAACCATTTTTAAGGATGAAGCACATGAAGGGCAAAATTAGAACCAAAACATCTGATGAACACCTTGAGAATTGCTATTACATCCATCGAACCAGATATTGATGAGTTAGTTTACAGTATCAAATATCATTCTAGATTTATGTTGCCCTCTTATTTTTATATCAAAGTATTTGTCCCCTTCATGTTTTTTTTTATTTTGTCACACTTAAATGATTCAGATGATCAAAAAATTTTAATATTACACAACTATAATCTGAGTGAATACAAAATGCAGTTTTTATCCACCTCCCACCTGCCACATAGTACAATGACGGGCGCAAGGTGGTTTTCTCGTTCTGGGAGGACGTCATATGATGTCCTACCATTCTAAACCGCGCAAGCACGGCTCCAGGAGTGCGCAGCGGATCACCGATCAATGGAAAGAGCCAAAGATGTCGGCTCGGTCATGTGATCAGCTGTGTCTAATCACAACTGATCACATGTAAATAGGGAAATGCCGGTTATCGGCATTTCTCTCCTCACGTGCTGTCACGCTAACAGCTCGAGAGGAGAGCAGAGCCGGTAATCGGCATCCCTCAGAGGGGACATGTGCACTGATCATCAGGGCACTGATGATCAGTGTGCCCCGATGATCTGTGTAGCCCCAGCAGTGCTACCTGTCAGTGCCCATCAGTGCTCATCCATGCCACCTGCCAGTGCCCATCAGTGCCACATCAATGCCACATATCAGTGCCCATCTGAGCTGCCTTTCAGTGTCACCCATCAGAGCCAGTCAGTGCCACCTATCAATGCCAGTCAGTGTTACCTATCAGTGCTGCCAATCACTGCCAGTCAGTGCCGCCTATCAGTGTCAGTCAGTGCAGCCTATCAGTGCCCATCACTGCAGCCTCATTAGCGCACATCAGTGAAGGAGAAAAATCACTTATTTACAAAATTTTATAACAAAAACGAAGAAAAAACGTTTTGTTTTTTTTTCAAAATTTTCAGTGGTTTTTGGTTTGTTTAAGAAAAAATAAAAAACCCAGAGGTGATTAAATACCACCAAAATAAAGCTCTATCTTTCACAAAAAAAATTATACAAATTTCATATGGGTACAGTGTTGCATGACCGCGCAATTGCCATTCAAAGTGTGACAGTGCTGAAAGCTGGAAATTGGCCTGGGCAGGAAGGGGTTATAAGTGCCCTGTAGGCAAGTGGTTAAATGATGATTTCATTTATTAAGGGAAAAAAAGCTGTCCAAACCTGCTTATCCCTATGTGAAAGGTAATTGCCCCTAAACCTAATAATTGGTTGTGCCATCCTTGGCGGCAACAACTGCAATTAAAAGTTTGCAATAACTGGCAATGAGTCTTTCACATTGCTGTGGAGAAATTTTGGCTCCCTCTTCTTTGCAAAAGTGTTTTAATTCAGCCACATTGGAGGGTTTTCAAGCATGAATTACCTGTTTAAGGTCATGCCACAGCATCTCAATCAGCTTTAAGTCCGGACTTTGATCAGGCCACTTGAAAACCTTAAATTTGTTTGTTTTTTTTGAGCCGTTCAGACGTGGACTTGCTGGTGTGTTTTGGATCATTGTCCTGCTGCATAACCCAAGTGCGCTTGAGGTCAGGAACTGATGTCCAGATATTCTCCTTCAGGATTTTATGGTAGAGTGTAGAAATAGTGGTTCCATCAATTATTGCGAGTCATCCAGGTCCTGAAGCTGCAAAGTAGCCCCAGACTATTACTACTACCACCATGTTTGACTGTTAGTATGATGTTCTTTTTATGAAATTCTGTGGCTTTGTAACCCTTTCCAGATCGATACATGTCAATTACTTTGTTGCTCATCTGCTTTTAAATTTCTTTAGTTCGCATCATAATGTGTTGCTTTTTGAGATTTTTAGCATGCTTCACTTTGTCAGAGAGCTTCTATTTAAGTGATTTCTTGATTCAACAGGTCTGGTAGTAATCAGGCTTGGGTGGGGCAAGTAAAATTTAACTTGGCTTTCCAAAAATGTAGTTAATAACATTCATGTTTTAGTAAAGGGGAGATTTACTTTTTACATAGGGCCAGGCAGGTTTGGACAGCTTTTTTTCCCCTTAATTAATGAAATCATCATTTAAAAACGACATTTTGTATTTACTCAGGTTATCTTTGTGTAATATTAAAATTTGTTTGATCTAAGTGTGACAAATATTGCTGAGACCTGACCACTTGAGTTCCCAAGTCTGCATGCTTGTGTGCCCATGTTAAGAATAGACTACCAGTCTCCAGAGTCATGAGACCTTTGTGTTTTGTCTTTTTAATTTCTCTGTCATGAAGGCTATTATTAGTTCAATGTGCTTTGCTAAAGAGTGAAATAATAAACATAGATATGAAAAGAATAGACTAAGCCCCGGTTCACACTCGATCCAACTTTGAAATCGTGCAACTTCACAGATGGCGATGTGACTTGGGGTGCTCCTTGATAGATATCTGTGTGACCTCATGCAAAGATGTCTATGCAGGTTTTGCCCCAAATCGACAAACATAGTGCAGGAACTAAGTCAGAGTCGCACCTATTAGAACAGTTCCATTGCCGGTCATTGAATGCGATTTGTCAAATCGCATGTCAGTTCGCATCAGTGTGAACCAGGGCTTACAGAATTTGTACTCTACTGGATAAAACATCTATTCATACTTGAACACATTCTCAATGTGTACTTTATTTAGTATTGCCATTATTCCACTTAGGTTGTGACCATCTGCTATTTGTTTGATATTTTTATTGACAATTAAAAATGTTTCTATTTTTTTTTTCAGGGTGTGATCCTAGTGCTTTTAGAAATGGATACAAGTTAAATAAAGTGGAAGAACAGTGATACATTATATTACTTGATCTCCATGAATTCTAATACTTGGAAATTAATGTGTTCTGGCATCTTAAAACACTGTGTTGCTTATACATGAATTGATGTACTCACAGCACACTGATGGAGATATTACTTCTGGATTACTATCACCTTAATGTATAGTGGTGTTTTTTTTGGGTATTTTTTTTTTCAAAATGAATTTGCAATCAGAAAGTATTTATTTAGTATGGAAATCATCCTTTTAGGATGACGGAAAGTGATGGACTAAGGGTTCAGAGGCGTGTACCAGTCCGGAAAAGGAGTTTATCCTCAGGAAATAGTCTCCTTACTCCAGCTAACAAGAGGCCCAGCAGTAGCAGAGAAGATGTGGAAATAGCATCTCTTTGTCATACTGTGGGCTATAGACACAAAGACCACAAAGAAGAAAGTAACATGTATTCAAGCAGTCAGGTGCGTGACCTCTAATAGTAATGGCATGTGTGTAATGCTGTGATATTTTTACAGTTGTGTATTCTATTTGTTTGATTTCAGGATATTACTTTTTTATGGCACGAAGCTCAAGATATTGTTTCATGCAGTAACTTTTTTTCAATTACACTTGTTTAGTTTGTGCAGTTTTATAAGTTTGTTTTTAACCTTTTTCTATATAATGCTGGATTAAAGCTAATGGTTATGAGAAAAATTGATTATCCTTAAATCTCTACTATTTCTTTGTAGGATTGCGGCAGTGATGATGACATGTTTGGGGAATATGACAGCTTTGCTGAAGATCCATCTTTGCTGGCACAGGTGGAAGATTTGGAGGAAAAATGTAAGCAGGAGACTGCAAGTACTTTCCCCTGCACTTCTGCAGACATCAAACTGGACACAATTAGTCATACTTCAACACCAAATGCAAGTTTTAAACTGCCAGGTGATCAACCACTACCACAGCAAATAAAGCAAAGGACGTTGCCTCTAAAACTGAAAGATGAATCAGAAGAACTTACAGAGGATTTTTCAGATGATCTTCCTTGCTCACAGCTTCTTCATTGTGAAAATGTAAATCAAAATGTAGATCCAGAAATGTCCGCAATGAAGCAATCCATATATGATAATGACTTGTCTACTGATGCTTTAGATCACCTTAACAAAGGTGATGATGCAGACACCAAAAAAACATCCATCTTACCCCAAAAGGATCAAAAAAGAAAGAGTTTAAGGGACAGTCTTAAAAATACATTAACTGGGAACGCTAAAGTCCAAACTCCACAAGTTTTGAGGACTAAGCAAATAAAGGAAACTATTCTTTTAGAAGAACTTGATGTTGCCAAAAAGACTGTAGAAATTTCTTCCAACATAGATTTGGGACCTTTCTATGGCTTGCCCAGCAAAGTTGCCGACCTTATTGAGGAGCTCAGAGGAATTAAAAGACTTTATGGTAAATTCAGTTTTCTTTTGGCTGTTTAATTCTGAAAATTGTGACCTCTACCTTGAGTTTATGAATTATTACACTATAAACTGGGTCACCGAAATAATGCTTGATTTCTAGAGAAAAGTGAATCAATGGAGATTCACTTTGGAGATTGACAGGTATACAGACAATGGGTATTCAAATATTTGCATATTTTTAAGGAGCAGCAAATTAGCTTTAACACAAGCGCTCACTGATTTCCTTAGAAGCAGGCACTGTGGAGCAATTCTTTCCCGACGTAATCTGGATGTAGACAGATTGATAGCAGCTCACTCATCAGTGATTGGCAGCCTTACAACTTTCTAATGTAAACATGAATACCAAAGCTTTATCATTAAGTGATTCTATATATATATATATATATATATATATATATATATATATATATATATAAATTTTTTTTTTTGTTTTTTTAATAAAAAACAAACATGTCTATATTTACCTGCTCTGTGTAATCGTTTTGCACAGAGCAGCCAGGATCCTCCTTATCTAGGGTCCCCTACAGGTTCTCCTGACTCCTCCCTCCTGTCGGGTGCCCCCACAGCAAGCAGCTTGCTATGGGGGCACCCGCTGCTCTGTGTGTCCATTCACACACGGAGCCGTGGCTCGGCCCCACCCTCTCTCTTTTCATTGGCTCTCATGCTGTGATTGACAGCAGCGGGAGCCAATAGCTATTTGCTTCTGTCTCAGCCAATGAGAAGAGGGAGTCCCGGGATAGCCGAGACTCCAGTGCACATCGCTGGATCGAGGGGGTTTAGATGTGTATTAGGGGGGCTGGGGGGGATACTGCACACAGAACCACTATGAATTTTATTTGTTCAAGCGATTTTGTCACCAATTTAAAAAAACTGAACCAAGTACTACTCTGCAAAGTAAGAAATACCTGTCCCTCTGTCCATGCCACTCTTCATGGGCTAAAGAGATAAGTTGGTTCATAGGGCTTCTGTATTCAGCACTTCCTGGAGTGCTAAATGTTGGCATCCCTCTCTCTGTGGTTTCCAGCCGATAGAATCACAGTGCACAGAAGAGGACCAGGCATCCAACACACGTGGAAGTTTGGTTTATGCTAAAAAGGTTTTAGCAAGTTTTTCGTCTTCAACCTTGTAGAGTTTAGTGGCGCAAGCAGCAGGACAGGTAATTATTAACATTGCAGGGAAGTATCTGTGTCATGTTATCAAAATTAACCCCTTCGCACCAGCGCCTCCCGGCCCTTAAAGGGTTTCAGAAGCCGGGAGGCGGGGCGGGTTTAGGGTCATGTGACCGCTGTGACATGCCGTTACGGCATCACATGCTCGGGAAAGGTCCTGATCGAAAGCGGAGATCGGGACCTTTCCATGAGTACTGGACATGTGTGCTGGGAGTGCGCAGGGTGCGTGCTCTTAGCACATGTTTTTTTTTTTAATAGAACGCAAATGTGCGGCCGCTCGGTGTATAGGCCCAGATGCCGGGAGGCCGCACAATTGCGTTCGGCCGGCGTGAAGAGGGTAAAAAGGATCACTTTAAGACCAGTTTTCACACAACAGTAAAGAATGTAACAGTATACAGCAGAATGTAAAAAGCTGTATTAGGGTAATATAAAGCAGCATTCCCCTTATGAGGAATTCAAGGAAGTGATGAAACGCATCAAGGGACGTTGCCTGAAAGACCGGAAGTAGTGGAGCGCCCATCTTTAGTGTGGTAAACACAGTCTGGCATTCCTGGAAGCTGCTTGAGGTTGGAGTCAGGGGATTTTAATGTGAATTTGATATGGTTTATATGTAAACAGATTTTATTAAAGCGTGGATCTTTATACCTTCATACATATTGCACTATATGGCTTTGTTCTTTCCCTCTATGGTTACTATGGAGCATAAGAAGGTGGAAGTAATGAAGTGAGCATTCTAAGGGATCTGAAGGCATCCATGTGGATCTAGTTGATGTATATCCCTCTCTGGATTCCTATATTCATATAAGGCTTGCATATTTTTTGCATTAGGATAAGGGTATGTGATTCAGCCACTTAGAAGTGTACACTGAATGTTCACGGAGAAGTGTATATATAAATATTACACAGAGTTTCACTATCACAAGTGTGTTCACGATTTGTGTGTTTTGGTGCACAAAAACAATGAGGAATTATGTGGGTAGTTATTTAGGTATTTCAAATTTTTTGAGGATAATGCACTATTGTGTTTTCTTTGTTTTGAAGTGCACGGCAATTATTGGAGTCATACGGAGATTTTTTACAGAAATTGGAGAAGGATTTATGAACTTTTTTGGGATGTTTTCTCACATTTTTAATGGACATTAAAAAGGTTTATTATATAAACTACAGCCTCTCCTACCAAGAAAATTATCTTTTTAAGGTGATTATCTGGTAGGGCTTCTGATTCCTGATAATTACTGAAAACAGTTCTGATCCTTTGCTCTTCATCACGTATGCCCCTGCTGAACACAATTTTGCATGGCAGCAGTATTACAGGGAAACTATAATAGTTTTTTGTCTCTAGCTCTGTCATTTATTTTACAAGTCATGCGCCAACTGATTTGACACTTTGGATTGAGTTTTCCAGTAAGGCATGAGTCACTTGTGTATGTACATTTTAGTTTGAACTATTAAGCTGTGTAATCAATAGGCTTTTTACCAGTAATTAGTAAACAACTGAAAAAGAGTCACAAGCAGTAGAAAGGAAGATCCTAAGGGTTGGGGGATTAGTAAAAACCCAGGTGTCAAACTTTTTTTGACATTTTTACCATAAAAAGAGTATCCAAAATAGTTGAAAGGCATTCATAGGCCTTTACATCACATAGAGTTGAAACATTTAATGTGTCAACTGTTTTTTTTTTTTATACATTTAGTCAGAAAGGTTCACCATCACAATAAATAGCCGATACAGAGACAGAAGCAAGTCAAAAGCTGACACAACAAGACAAAATACTGTATAATTAACATACAGGCTTATATTCTGCATATTAAGCATTTTTGTATGCAGATCTTACATGGAAAAAGTAGAATAAGCAACATCAAATCTCTGGTGACACTCTTCGAGCTTTAAAAAAAAAAAATTATAACAGTATACCCCCATCTCAATTAGGAGGGATAAAAGAGAATAGAACAGAAGTGGTAAGGGAGGAGGGAAAAAACTGGGAGAGAGCTCCACCCTGAGAAAGGAAGGAAGAATGAAAAAAAAAAAAGTGTGGGGGGGTCAACTTTTTTTAAGGATCATAGTCCAACATGGACTGTGATCCATTGAAACGTTGAAACAATAAATGTTTCGACTCTACCCAATGTGAAGACCTGTTAGTGCTTTTCAGCTATCTTAGATACATGATAGTTTATTTGTCAAGGTGCACCCAGGCACTTTTCTTGTATATAGAGTGCAGTGGCTACATTTTGGATTAAAATGGAATATTTGTATATACTTAGTTGTCAGTAGGGTGAAAGGCTCTGATGCTGAACTACAGTATAGTGTAGAATATGTGTCACTATGTCAACAGATTGCATTCAACCATATTTTCTCTCATACCAAGTCTGCTAAACTGTTTTTAACTTACGATTTTGAATTTAAAAAGCTGGCAATGATTAATCATTTAAAAGTCCATAACCATACAAAATGAAAAGAAAGGCTCTCAAATGGCAGCAGCCATTTGTTTACAACAAGAATATTTCCTGAGACAAATGTTTAAAACCAAAGAGAATCCCTGGAGAATCAGACAAAGCTAGCTCCTTTTGATGTATATCTGTGAATTGTATACTAAATATTTCTAAAGAATAGCTAGTGTGTTATATTTTGATTTAAAGTATTCTATTTTTGTTTTCTTTTTCAGACTGGCAGCATACGTGTCTGACTCTGGATTCCCTAAAGCAGAGAAGAACCTAATTTATTCATTACCAACAAGTGGAGGCAAAACACTTGTTGCAGAGATTGTAATGCTACAGGAGCTTCTGTGTAGAAAAAAAGATGTTCTAATGATCTTACCATATGTGTCCATTGTTCAGGAAAAGGTGAGCTGTCTCAGTAGCCTTAGGTCTATGTAACACTTAGTGTTGCACCGAAATAGACCGATAGGGGCGTTTTTGGCTGAAACGTTTTGGTCATCGAAATTTCGGTGCACCCCCAGTAACACTAGCAGTCCTGTCACTGGTGACAACTCCCCTGGTGGCAAGATTGCTAAGACAGCAGCAAGAACACTCTACTGTTCCTACAATGTCACTTCCTCACTGACCAAACAATCAACGTATCCATAAATTGCTGCTTCCTCAATGGCAATTTAAAATTCTGAGATTCTGCAGCATTTTGACCAGTGAGAGAGAGATGCCATAGGAACAGATAAGTATCCTCTGGTAATTTGCCCCCCGCATCAGGATCACTAGTGCAAATTGGCCCTAAGACCATTGCTTCATATTAGTAGTTAAAGCAGCACCGGGTAGCAATGACTTTGCCTTTCAAAGTTAAATGACTGAGGCAGGCACCCTTATCAGACTTCTGTTGTCTATGGGAATGTTTGACCATTCTTGCAGAAGTGCATTTGTGAGGACAGGCACTGATGTTGAACAAGAAGGCCTGGCTTCAGTCATATTTGATATTATATATCATATTTGACATATTTGATCATATATTAGGACCCAATTATACTATGTGCAGTTACCTGTGTCTTTCCTCATGTATAAATTCAGGTAAGTTCCATGACACACAGAAGACAATAGTTTTTATATGTGTCATGTTCACAGCAGAATATTGTGTTTCTCAGAATACCAAAGATTTGAGATATTGTGCAGCATGTTTACATAATATCACACCTCACCAGATGGTCCTACATCAAGTCCGTATATCAAGTGCAACACTTTTTGCACTTCACATAAAGTTCACAAAATAAAAGGGAGCTGTGTGATGTGATAAAACACACATCACACTGCCCCCTTGCCACATGTCACTGAAGCCCAAAGCAGACTGCTGCCCATACTCTAAATCACTCCAGATTAGCGTGTGTTCAAGTGTGAATGGGCCCTTAGTGGGAATTTGATTATAAAGAAAAAATCCTTGTTATCCAGGAGTTTAATGTTTTATAAATTGTAATAATTTTTTTATTATTTTGTTTATATTCTTAAATGTATAAAGTACCGATCAGCCATAATTTTATGACTACTGACAGGTTAAGTGAATACCATTGATTATCACTTTACAATGGCATCTGAAAGTGGGTGGGATATATTGGGCAGTAAGTTGTCCCTGAAAGCAGAAAAAATGGACATCACACATGTTCTGTCTGGGGCTGTATAGCTGCTAACCAGTCAGGGTGCTCATGTTGACCCGTGTGACACTGCCAATAGCGCCTACAATGGACATGTGAATATCCGAACTGGACCACGAAGAAATGGAAGAAGGTGGCCTTGTCTGATGAATTGCGTTTTCTTTTACATCATGTGGATGGCCAGGTTTCTTACCTGCAAACAAGATGGCACCAGAATGCACTATGGAAAGAAGGCAAGCCAGTAGAGGCATTTTGATGCTTTGGGCAATGTTCTGCTGGGAAACCTTGGGTCCTGCCATTCATGTGGATGTTACTTTGACACATACCACCTACCTTGTTGCTAACAAAGTACCCCCCTTCATGGGAATGTTATTCCCAGATGGCAGTGGCCTCTTTCAGCAGGGTAATGCACTCTGCCACACTGCAAAAATGCTTCAGGAATGGTTTGAGGAACACAATAACAAGTTTAGGGTGTTGGCATGGCCTCCAAATTCTTCAGATCTCAATCCAATTAAACATGTGTGGGATGTGCTAAAAAAACAAGTCCAATCCATAGAGCCCTACCTCGCAACTTACGGGACTTAAAGGACTTGGTACTTAGTACAAGAAACCCAGCTTAACTTCAGAGGTCTAGCAGAGTCCATGCCTTGATGGGTCACGGCTTTTTTGGTGGCAAAAAGGGGATTTACTCAATATTAGGTGGGTGGTCATGAAGTTATGGCTGATTGTTGTTTATATTCAGTATACAGTATGTATATATTTTTTACTTTATAATTAATGTTTTTAAATAATACCATACTGCAGTTTTATTATACTGCAATTGAGTCACCTGCTTTGATAGTGTTAAAATGGAGCAGAAGAAACCTGTTATGAGAAATGCATGTGGGTTCGCCTTGTTGGCATTTCCTTCTGAAAAATGCTATTTGCCTGACTCGGTTTCTGATACCGTGGCTTCAGTATTTTCTGGATTGCTGACCAGTAACCAAAAGATTAGACTTTTCTTCTCTCTTACCTTTGCAGGCTGGTTCTGAATCATGATGCAGATTGCTGAAGCTAGAAACAGGCAACTGGCATTTTCAGGAGACCAGAAAGGGCATTCCCCATATTTCCCTAATGACAGGCATACTTTAAGCAGGTCATAGACTGGTCGAATTCAGCCGATAAACGAAAAATCGGTCGTTGCCGCCATGGATGCTGCCACCAATGCTCACGAAAGAATGGGACAAGAAACCAGTTTGACAGACGGGAGCACACCATACAATGTGACAGCAATACAAATACATTATGTTTTTATTTGGATACAAATGGATACATTTGTTGCAACCACAAGACTTTTTCATATAAAATATAATAGCAGACTGGACTTCCAGTTTGTAGGAAGGATTCAGGTGTCTCCCATTCTTATGATCGATTCACTTTAGCAGAATAAAATTTCCTCTTCTAGATGTGACAGTCTGCAATATCAGAGAGATTGGGGTAAACAAATTAGCCTGACAACGCTCTAAAACTACATCTTTAGAATAAAGAACGGAATCGCCGTTCAGTGACACCTGTACGTTCCATAGTGCAGTACATAGCAGTCACAGGGCAGGCAAAGGCCAGGACTTGGGAATGGTGCACTGAATTAAGTGCTTGTGAGGCAGCCTCCTCCTCCTCAGAACATTTTAAAGAACCTTTTTAGAACCTCATTACCTTTTCTAGGAATACAATTTAATTTTGTACTTTCAGAAAACAAAATATATATATACATATACGTGTGTGTGTGTGTGTGTGCATTTACAGTAAAAAGAATGCTGGCAACCTTGCAGATCACGGCTCATGCACAGATTTTTTTAACGGTAAAAACGATCGGCCGATTTGCCCAGCATTGCCAGGAAAATTGGGTGATCGCCCAAATCGGCCGCAAATTTTCCAACATGACCGATTAAATAAACTGTGCAAAAAAAAACGAAAAGCGGCCGACCAAACCTGTTAACAGTGCGAAAATTGGCCATTTTTTTTTTTTTTCGGCCAAAAAAGCAGCCGATTTTCGACCCGTCTATGGCCGGCATTAAAGTGTCACTTGGTATTCCTTTCTAAGAGTACCTGTGCACTGGTATTGAGTGAGTTTAGGTCTAAGTTTAAAAAGTTGAATTAGGTTTGGCCAAGTTGCAGATATTTATGAATGTATGCTAATCAACCTGATGTAGGCCAGATCTTGATCCTTGCAGATTAGTTGGTTCATTTCCAATTGCCCGTTAGTGAAAGTATTTACAGTGGAAAATGGCAAGCACATAGAATGTGGCCCTGATACCTCTTTAGTTTGCTGGGATCATACAAAATGTACTTCTGCAAATTTATTTATATTTTTTTTTTTCTATACCAAAAGCTTAGATTTTATTTGACCTAGTGGAAACCAAGGTGTTCCAAAATACTTGTTAGCAATTTTACTTAATTTGTTTTATTTTCCTTACTTTTTTTTCCAGGTGCGAGGCCTATCTAGCTTTGGGGTGGAACTGGAATTTTTGATAGAGGAGTATGCTGGCAGCAAAGGAAGATTTCCTCCAATCAAAAGAAGAGCAAAAAAAATCTCTGTACATTGCAACTATAGAAAAAGGTCACAGCCTTGTGAATTCACTGATTGAGACGGGACGAATCAGCGATTTAGGTTTAGTTGTTGTTGATGAGGTAATAAATGAATTGCCTAAGTATGTCCTCATTCAGAATGTGTTTGTAGATGTGTATTTTTAGCTCTGTAAATCTTGGATAGGGTGCTTAACTTTCATGTTTTTTTTTTTGTTTATTATTTATTGTATATTTTATATAATTATAAAATCACATGGACATTGTATTAGTCAGTGCACCGGTTTCCAGCTTTTAAGAATATTCTCATTATATATCGACTATTTCATTATGTTATATATCAACTACTAAATAATATATCAACTGTTACTAAATTTGTCTTTCAGTAAACGTTGCGCTTGGTAACAGGAAGAAAAAGATGTTTGTGCCTACTTTAAAGCTCTTTTGAACCTTTAATGTATTACTTTAATGCAGTGATGTTGCATATACAGTAATAAATATGGGTCTTCTTGGTGTAGGGGGTTTTGTGTATGAAAGCTAAGGTATGCATCCTGACTTCATTACAGTAATATGTAGGGTGAAATTGGGCTTTAACCGCTTGCTGCCCGCCATATAAGGTAATGACAGGCGGGCGGTGGTTCTCTCGTTCTGGGAGGACATCATATGACGTACTCCCACTCTAACCTCGTGTGTGCGCCCCCGGGGGCGCGCAGCGCAGTAATTGCTGGTGCGCTGTGTCCCTGGGGCACAGCTGATCACCTATCAGCGGAAAGAGCTGATGACTTCGGCTCTGTCATGTGATGAGCTGTGTCCAATCACAGCTGATCACATATAAATAAGGAAATGCCAGTTATCAGCATTTCTCTCCTCACGAGCTGTCAGCCTGAAAGAGTGGTCATTAGAGCCAGTAAATGTCATTCCTCAAAGAGGACATCTACACTGATGATCAGTGCCCTGATGATCAGTGTAGCCCCATCAGTGCCACCTGTCAGTGCCACACCAGTGCCCATATCAGTGCCTACCAGTGCACATTAATGTCGCATATCAGTGCCCATCTGAGCTTTCTTTCATTTGCCACCTATCAGTGCCAGTCAGAGCACATTAATGTCGCATATCAGTGCCCATCTTAGCTTTCTTTCATTGCCACCTATCAGTGCCACTCAGATCACATTAATGTGACATATCAGTTCCCATCTGAGCTGCCAATCAGTGCCACCTATCAGTGTCAGTCAGTGCCACGTATCAATGCTTTCTATCACTGCCATATATGAGTACTGCCTTGCAGTGCCCATCAGTGATGTCTGTCAATGCCCACTAGTGATGCCAGTCAATGCCCATCATGCAGCCTATCAGTGCCCATCACTGCAGCCTCATTAGCACACATCAGTGAAGGAGAAAAATGACTTATTTACAAAATTGTATAACATAAAATAAGAAAAAAAACTTTTTTTTCAAAATTTTCAGTTGTTTTTGGTTTGTTTAGCAAAAAATAATCCAGTGGTGATTAAATACCACCGAAAGAAAGCTCTATCTGTCTCAAAAAAATTATAAAAATTTCATATGGGTACAGTGTTGCATGAACGCACAATTATCATTTAAAGTGCGACAGCGCTGAAAGCTGAAAATTGGCCTGGGCAGGAAGGGGGTGAAAGTGCCCTGTACGCAAGTGGTTAAAGTAGGTGCATTGAGCACTGTTCTAATCAACATTGCTCTTCTTTCTGAGCAGCATTGTTGACTAGGCAGTGTTCAAAGCAGCATTTTGGAAAGCTGGGCTGCTTCTTGACTGTGAGACTCTCCTATGTGCTGCAGGTAAAACAAGATTGAAAAAGTGGCATATATTACTGAATATGCTGACTGGCTGTATTACAGTAATAAATTAAGAGGGTGCAATTGGGCTTTAAGTGTTCTAAACTACCAGTGCCTCGCTATAGAAGAATGAAAATCCTATGCAAATACTGACTGTTGTTGTTATTTTCATATTTGCACAGGGCTTAGTATGCCTCCCCCTTCCTTATAACAGTTATTGGGTCTGGTAACAGATCACTCAGGTTATGAGTACTGAATTCTAGCAGTAATGGGAGAATATCAGGTAACCAAAGTACCTGGATCTTTCTCAGAGTTGACATGGTGCAACAAGGCATTAGAGAAGTAAGGTAACGATGCATGCAGATTCCATAGCGGACCTATCAAATGAAGCTGGCTAACTGGATGAAAGAGCTCATTGAACAGTTGCTCTTTCACTATCCAATCATAGCCTTTACAAAGCTTTTTGCTTTGAATTGCAACAGAGTAAAGTAAATGTTCAGAGAATGTTGTATAGTGTCTGACAGGGGTATCTAGATTAGAAAACTAGCTGAAAACAAAATAACAAATTTCTGGCAGGTAAGACAGTTTGCACATATTTATTCAAGGGTGTATATAGTTATTTACTTACATTTACAATTTTAAGTAAATGCGTGCTTTACCACTACAGGTTAAAGCAACCAGTTTATTTAAAGGGTGTGTTACCCCAACATTTCATATTATTGCTATGTGCCTTTAGAACCATGTAGTTGTGTTAAAAAGTATTGTGTTCTCCTTGTATTGCTTCCTTTGTGTGAAATACCTGGTGATCCTGCCAGTCCCTCTGCTTTCCTATTTCAAACTGTCCAGGCTAGACATGAGAGCACATTCATCCCAGCGTGGTCAGTTTTCTGGCTCCAATGGCCAAGACTTGTGTTGACATACCCCCCTGCACAGTTCTTCACTGGGAAGATCAGTATATTGCTCTTTATCTGCCTCCTGCTGACAGACCTGCCTAAGCCCCTTATGCAGCTGGGAACAAAGATAATATATACACATGTTTTTTTGCCTTGCATTTCTGTTTATCTGCACGTCCTTTGGTTGAAGTGGTTATACCAGGGCCATGGCTGCAACCATAACCCCAATATCTTTTGTATGTTGTTCATCCCTTGTGATAGCAATAAAAGTGATTTAAAAAAAAAAAGTAAAAGAAAATAATAAATAAAAAAAACATAATTTAATGCAACCCCCACCCCCCACACTCACATGCAAATCGAAGCGCATACATAAACATTGTTTGCACCAAACGTGAAATATAGCTGTGAATGTTATAGCGAGAGCAATGATTCTAGTACCAGACCTCCTGTTTAACACTGAATTGGTAACCTGTAGGCTTTACAAGCATTGACTGTGAAGATTTTTAAAGTGTTACTAAAGTCAAATTTTTTTAAATGTAAAAACATGTTATACTCCCCTGATCTCTGCAGTGGTATTACACAGAGCGGCCAGATCCTCCTCTTCTCTGGTCCCCTGGTGGCGATCTTGGCTCTTCTTCTTCGTGTGTCCCCATAGTAAGACGCTTGCTATAGAGGCACACAGTGTCTGCGTGCTCCTGAGCTGCGTGTCTATGGAACCACACTAACACTTAGACCTCTGCACTGCCCCCCACTTCTTCTCACTGCATTTGATTGACAGCAGCAGGAGCCAATGGCTCCAAATATTTAGTATTATATTGTGTTTGTGTGCACTAAAATTCATTAACGCGTATTTAAAAAAAAAAACATTTGTGTTTGAAAAACTGCTGTGCAAATACCTTGTGACATTAAAAATTGCAACACCCACAATTTTATTCTTTAGAGCCTCTGCTTTAAAAAATATATATACTGTATGGGGTTAGAAGTAATTTTCTAGCAAAAAAATGCAGATTTTTATATGTATAACAGAAATATCAGAATTTGCCTGGGGGTCAAAGTAGTTAACCGGAATATGTTGTTTTACAAGGTGAGGGTTCATCTTGAACCATACTCGTTGCACTCTTGTCTATTGGTACACTGGTAATAAGCCCTGCCTGGGCTGCCTAATTCCAACATGATTGATGAAAGCAACCAAATATGTCTATTGTTCATGACGCCTTACTAATTTGTAAATGCAAATACTTCAGTCTTATTGGTCCGATTATTTTACCTGACTACGTTGCTGCTGTTTCAGATGTTCATTATCCTTTACTGATCTTATCTTTCCATTTATCCAATAGTTGCATATGTTGAGTGAGGGGAGCAGAGGTGCAATTTTAGAAATGACTCTGGCTAAAATTCTCTACACCAGTGGTAAGTTACCGGTATGTTCATAATCCTTTTTATATGTTGCAGTTATTTACATAAACATGCCCTGTTTTCATACTGAACGCGGCTTTGAAATCTCACTACTTCAGCTGATGTAGTGTGATTTCAAAGCCACCAGGCAGTTTTGATTTCATGTGCGGCTTGCCGACACCTGTGCGACTTCATGCACAGATGAAAATTCAAGTCGCACAGTCGTGAGATCACCAAAAATAGTGCAGGAACTTTTTTTTAAAACTTGTGCAAGTCGGAGTCAAATCGATTTGAACAGTTCCATATGTACAAATAGGGTGTGACTTGCCATGCGATTTTGAGCTGTCAAATAACATTGGTGTGGACAATGACTTAAAGTGTTACTAAACCCACAACAGTAAAATCAGTCTGTATATGCAGTTAAGTGAGAACACCCATGCAATGGTATTCAGGTGCAGGTAAAAAAAGAAAACGGTCCTGCACCTTTTTTGGTGCGGATGCAATGTGATTTGAGCCATACAAAATGTATGGCTCAAATTGCACCGCACAGAGATTGCATGTAATTTGCACAGGAATGTGGTGCAATTCCTGTGCGAATTACATGCGGTGTCCTGTACCGCATTAATGTTCAACCAGTCTTGTGTCTATGTGGGATAGTATTTTTCATAACCAAGACTTTGAATAGCATAGCATTTTGATAACAGTTATGAGAGTTATGTAATGTGTTTATAAATTGCAAATGAGCTTCTACAAGGAAGCACAACAAGATCACATTATTGTCAATAAAACTACAAAATTGCAATTTGATTATCTTTAATCGTTAATATTTATCCCTATGCTTTATGTACAGAAAACACCCAAATTATTGGAATGAGTGCAACCTTAAACAATGTCGGTGAACTGCAACAGTTCCTGAAGGCAGAATATTACACAGACACCTTCAGACCTGTAAGTTCCTACACTCTCTTGATTGAGTCCTCATGCACACTTGATGTTTTTACAGGTGCTGTTTTTGGCTTTTTATATTTTTTTCTACAGCTAGTAAACCCCCCAGCATGTTATCCTTTGTGTCCATGCACACATAGACTGTAATCAACATTTTTTGGCTGGAAAAAAACCCAGGACAAGTGGGTTTCTAGAGGAGTTTTGTAGCTGGAAAAACGTTCTAACACTGAAAAACACAGTAAAACGCCACAAAACCGGCATTTTTGGATGTTTTTTTGACCAAAAAAATTCTTTTTTTGGCTAAAAAAAATGCTAAAAAACAAAACGTGGAAAAACTTTGCTAATCGCAGCTAAACGCTGATGCAAAAACACTGAAAAACTCACGTTTTTAACGTGACTTTACACAGCTAACATTACTAGATTATTATAAAACATCCAGTTTTCATGAGGGTTAAAAGAGTACCTCCTACCAACAGAGCCTGGAAAGGGTAGACCTAATGTGTCAAACCATACACTAGGCATATGCTTCAAAAAAATGTCCAATAAGGAAAAAACTTTAGCAGTGCTCACACAGTGCCCACACACAAAAAAACCACATAAAATTAAGAACAATATATATATAGTTGACATGTGTGCAGCTGTGATGATGAATAAAACCGTGACTGTGCCAAACTCCTTCCGTAAATGGCTAAATTTCACCTCCTCCTAAAATGCTTTAGGATCACCTGGATCCTTACCAGCAACTTCTGGGGACTGGATCTCCTGAGATTACATCTAAAGGGCTGCAGTGTCAGCTCACCAATCCAGTGAGTCTTTCTCTAATGTACAAATTAAATCCACTTTATTTTAGGGGAGTAAAAAAGAGATAACACACTCACATTGCAGACAATCTTCCCTCCTCACTGAAGTCTTTCAGACTGAAATGGGTGTAGCAAGATGGCGTCTCACGCCGGAAATGCGTCACCACGCACCGGAACTACGGACTCCGCGTAATGCGTTACGTCACCGTCTACTCGTGACTTCATCTGGGATAACCCATTATCACTGTTGATTTTTCTCCATCTGTCATTTGCTGCAGTTATCCAAAAAAAAAAATAGAATTCACATTCTACAGAAATGTATAGAATTCATTTGCAGATTACTAGATTATTAAAAACACCATGCTGTCCAAAAATTTCAGAGGATGGAAAAGTATTCAGCACACACAATCTGAGTTAAAACAGGTGCATGGCAGATTGTTGCTAAGAGAAGTCTTTCAGAGGGAGTAGATGGAGATGTAATCTACACAATGAATGGCACCATTTATCCCCAGAGTTATCCAAAAAAAAAATAGAAACATTAAAGAGATTGTAAACCCTCTGTCCTTGTAAAACAACAATTTTTCGGTTTGTATAGAAGAATAAAAGGCAAAAACATGTATGTATAGATATAAAAAAAAAAATAAAAAAATCACTCATCTTCCCAGTGAAAGGCTGTGCAGGGGACATGTTAGCAGAAGTCTAATCATTGGAGAAGAGCAGACTGAGTTCCCAGCACAGCTAGAAAAACTGACCAAGGTGTGCTCTCATGCCTAGTTTGGACAGATTTTAATAGGGGGAATGGCAGGATCACCAGGGATTTCACACAAAGGAATAAATATAAAGAGAACTGGATACTTTTTCATACAAGTATATGGTATAGCAGGCACACATCAGGAATGTTAAATATTGGATTTCCATATTCTTTAAGGATCCAGATGGGTTGTTCCTCTAAGCCAATGTTTCCTAAACTATGAGCTAAGACCCAAATCTGGTCACACATGTGCTTGTTTGAAGTCGCCACTGGACTGTGTAGTGAACATGGCTTAGTTTGTCTTAGCACAACATTAGTGGTGAGTAATCTATGTTTTATCCCCCCAGAGGATTTACCCCCCTTCTTGACCAGGCCATATTTTGTGATACGGCTCTGCGTTACGTTAACTGACAATTGCGCAGTCATGCAATGCTGCACCCAATTGAAATTTATGTCCCTTTTTTCCCCACAAATAGAGTTTTCTTTTGGTGGTATTTGATCACCTCTGCATTTTTTATTTTTTGCGCTATAAAAAAAAAAAAGACCGGCAATTTTGAGAAAAAAACATTTTTTGCTCTTAAACATGTCCAGTAAAAAAAAAATTAAAAAATCAAATTTCGTCATAACTGTAGGCCAAAATGTATTCTGCTACATGCCTTTGCTAAAAAAAATCCCAATACGTGTAAATTAATTGGTTTATGTAACTGTTTAGCGTCTACAAATGGCGATTATAGATATTTTTTTTTTTTAAATACTAGTAATGGCAGCGATCAGTGACTGATAGCGGGACTGCGGCATGCATTCTGACACTGTGTGGAACTGACTGTCACTGACATCCCCGGTGACACCAATACAGTGATCAGTGCTAATAAAAAGCACTGGCACTGTATTAATGACACTGGGCAGGAAGGGGTTAACATCTGGGGCAATCAAAGGGTTAACTGTGGGCTGTGTGCTGTTTTACTGTGTGCTGTGTGTATGCTTTGCACTGTAAGCACACTGCTTTGGATGGCTCTGATTTTGCGCACCCCTGCTGCCCTGTAGCAATATCTTTGCTGTAAGGCAATGGAAAAGCGGTTATATTGAATACTAATGCAATCTGAGATGTAACCTATAAACAGGGTAGTTAATTTATAACAGAGTATGTTTATTTCTGTGGGATGAAAATGTAAGATTTCCCACTCATGACAAAATCTAACCCCCCAACCTCCCTTTTTCTCTCTCAAAGCCTGTGAAACAAACTAATGTGATTGACGATACAGACACATGTGGGGGACTAAAGCGCAAACAAGGTGGGGACAGTCTTTTACACAGACAAGGTTGTGAAGTGACGAGACCCTAGCACTAGTTGAAAACCTCAGAAATATAATATGTTGAAGAGTTTCTCTCAGGTTTTGCTGATATTTTGGTAATAACAAAGAACACCCAAAAACACTTTTTTTTTAATATTCAAAGCAAACTCATCCATCTATGTCTTTATGTTTTATTTTGCTGAGAAATCACTTTGAAACACCCCCGAGCATTTCTGGCCATGGCCATCTTAAGTAAGGGCAGATAATTTATGTAGCATTGACTTCCTGGAATCCATCTGCCCTTAGCTCGGTCATGGAGACAGGAGGGTGTGCTTAGCTGAGAAAACCCCTCCTCCCCCTCCTAAAGGCACATGAGACGTATAATGTCATTTGCCTAGGCCTGGAATCTAGGAAGTAACTGAAGAAATGTATAATGTAAAAAAATAAATAAATAAAACAAGTAAATATTGTATACATTCCTATCTATTTACTAATGCTATCAGAGAAAGTGAGAGAATGAAGTTCCACTTCACTCACTGTCAGTTGCAGGATGTTTGGACATGAGATTGTTTCTTGGAAACTCTCTGCTCTGCTATCAGTGTAATAAATGTTTCTAAAGGTTGTGTGATCAAACCAGGCTTGTATTTCTTGGTAAAAACGGATATTGCGAAAATACTTGAGAGAGATTACACAAAACTGGATTTTTAGACTATTACTTCGTATTGTACATTACAATGAAAAATCCAAATTATTTACTAAATACTATTATCAGACTGGGACTGCTCAGCCTGCAGCTATCATCCTTCCAACCAAGAACACAGTATGCAAATCTCTCATTTTTTCGAATAATTAAATAATGTTACTTGTAGTAAGAAAAACTAAACAAGTAATTTAGGAGATTTGGGGGGGGGAGCTTTGGGCACTAGAAAGAAATGTACCTTTATTTTAAAAATAATTTACACTTTCAAAAGATGTGTTAGATAATGTACACACATTTCCTGTTTCTCTGTTATGTACCAGGTGGAACTGAAGGAATATGTTAAACTGAATGATTGTATATTGAGGTTGACAGCAAGGCTGAAAATAACTTGACTTTATCACGTCCTCTTAACTACAAGGTAAAGTATAAAAGTAAGGCCGAATTTTACATGCTACTGATTTCCTCTGATTTGTAAGGGAGTTGATGGTGCGGGTGTTTGTGCTAGTTTGTTTTTGACTGTTGTATGTGTTTGGCTGCTTTTGTATGTTCTGACTGCTTACCTGTTATGTTATTATGTTGTCTCGTGATTATCCTTTGTCATATGTATTGGGTTTCTTGCCAACTATAGTTTGATGTTTGGTTTTTGTTTTGAATCCCCTTTTCTGTATTATGTACCCTTATTCTTTGAGTTTTTAGATTGAACTCCTGTTATTATTTGTCTCTTCCTTGTTCTGTTTTTCTTATTTTTGTTTCATAAATGCAAAATAAACACATTTTAAAAAAAAAAAGTATAAAAGTAAATTGAAGTTGGTGGGAGTGGGCCAAGTTACAGCACAGAGCTTGCATAGTACAGAACACAAAGGACACAACCAACAAATAACAATGCAATGGGGTTGATTTACTAAAGGCAAATAGTCTGTGTATTGCAGGTACACTTGCAAGTTCAGTTGCTCTAGATCTGAGGCTAACATGCAAGGAAAATTTAAAAAAAATGCATTTTTGAGTGCACATGATTGTATGATAGAACTCAGCAGAGGTTTGCCTCAGATCTAGCGCAGCTGCACTTGCAGTACACAGACTATTTGCCTTTAGTAAATCAACCCCAATGCATGCACAGCACAAACACTGCATAGAAAGCACACAGCAAACACTGCATACACAGCTCACTGTAGTCATTGCTTAGATAGCCAACACATCACAAATCCTATAACATATAGGGACACTGCATAGGCAGACAGCACATTAAGTATACAAGGTTAAATTTGAAAATCATTCTGAGATTTTTGTTTTTAATTAAGACATTTAATATTTTGAATAATCACAGGTGCAAAAAAAATGTTTGTGTTTTATTAAAATTTTAGTATTCAAGTAATATGCTGAGACTAGATCCCGATCACATTATTGCCCTGGTGACCGAAGTCATTCCTAATAATTCCTGTTTGGTCTTCTGCCCTACCAAAAAGAACTGTGAAAATGTTGCAGAGATGGTCTGTAAATACCTCAACAAGTAAGGCACTATTTTTCTTTATATGAAAGCAGATCGTTTTCCACACTATTCAGCTTAATGCATCAGCATCACCCTCCTGGCACTGAGAAGAAGACAAATCCAGGATATTCACAGCAGAACCTGGCACATAGATTTTCCTTAAAGTATACCTAAAGGCAAAACCTTTTTTGGTTATTTTTTCATATAATCTATATATGAAGATATATATATATATATATATATATATATATATATATATATATATATATATATATACACAGTCAGGTCCATAAATATTGTGACATCGACACAATTCTAAACATTTTTGGCTCTATACACCACCACAATGGATTTGAAATGAAACGAACAAGATGTGCTTTAACTGCAGACTGTCAGCTTTAATTTGAGGGTATTTACATCCAAATCAGGTGAACGGTGTAGGAATTACAACAGTTTGCATATGTGCCTCCAACTTGTTAAGGGACCAAAAGTAATGGGACAATTGGCTTCTCAGCTGTTCCATGGCCAGGTGTGTGTTATTCCCTCATTATCCCAATTACAATGAGCAGATAAAAAGTCCAGAGTTCATTTCAAGTGTGCTATTTGCATTTGGAATCTGTTGCTGTCAACTCTCAAGATGAGATCCAAAGAGCTGTCACTATCAGTGAAGCAAGCCACCATTAGGCTGAAAAAACAAAACAAACCCATCAGAGAGATAGCAAAAACATTAGGCGTGGCCAAAACAACTGTTTGGAACATTCTTAAAAAGAAGGAAAGCACCAGTGAGCTCAGCAACACCAAAAGACCCGGAAGACCACGGAAAATAACTGTGGGGGATGACCGAAGAATTCTTTCCCTGGTGAAGAAAACACCCTTCACAACAGTTGGCCAGATCAAGAACACTCTCCAGGAGGTAGGTGTATGTGTGTCAAAGTCAACAATCAAGAGAAGACTTCACCAGAGTGAATACAGAGGGTTCACCACAAGATGTAAACCATTAGTGAGCCTCAAAAACAGGAAGGCCAGATTAGAGTTTGCCAAACGACATCTAAAAAAGCCTTCACAGTTCTGGAACAACATCCTATGGACAGATGAGACCAAGATCAACTTGTACCAGAGTGATGGGAAGAGAAGAGAATGGAGAAGGAAAGGAACTGCTCATGATCCTAAGCATACCACCTCATCAGTGAAGCATGCTGTGGTGGTAGTGTCATGGCGTGGGCATGTATGGCTGCCAATGGAACTGGTTCTCTCGTATTTATTGATGATGTGACTGCTGACAAAAGCAGCAGGATGAATTCTGAAGTGTTTCGGGCAATATTATCTGCTCATATTCAGCCAAATGCTTCAGAACTCATTGGACGCCGCTTCACTGTGCAGATGGACAATGACCCAAAGCATACTGCAAAAGCAACCAAAGAGTTTTTTAAGGGAAAGAAGTGGAATGTTATGCAATGGCCAAGTAATCACCTGACCTGAATCCGATTGAACATGCATTTCACTTGCTGAAGACAAAACTGAAGGGAAAATGCCCAAGAACAAGCAGGAACTGAAGACAGTTGCAGTAGAGACCTGGCAGAGCATCACCAGGGATGAAAACCCAGCGTTTGGTGATGTCTATGCGTTCCAGACTTCAGGCTGTAATTGACTGCAAAGGATTTGCAGCCAAGTATTAAAAAGTGAAAGTTTGATTTATGATTATTATTCTGTCCCATTACTTTTGGTCCCTTAACAAGTGGGAGGCACATATGCAAACTGTTGTAATTCCTACACCGTTCACCGCACATCTTGTTCGTTTCATTTCAAATCCATTGTGGTGGTGTATAGAGCAAAAAATGTTAGAATTGTGTCGATGTCCCAATATTTATGGACCTGACTGTATATACATATACACATACACACATATAAACATATACACACACACACACCCCTGTTAAAATGTCAGGTTTCTGTGATGTATAAAAAATGAGACAAAGATAAATAATTTCACAACTTTTCCACCTTTAATGTGACCTATAAACTGTACAACTCAGTTGAACAACAAACTGAAATCTTTTAGGTGGAGGGAAGTAAAAATAAAAAAACTAAAATAATATGGTTGCATAAGTGTGCACACCCTTAAACTAATACTTTGTTGAAACACCTTTTGATTTTATTCCAGCACTCAGTCTTTTTGGGTATGAGTCTATCAGCCTGGCACATCTTGACTTGGCAATATTTGCCCACTCTTCCTTGCAAAAACACACCAAATCTGTCTTCTGTGCACAGCCCTCTTCAGATCACCCCACAGATTTTTGATGGGATTCAGGTCTGGGCTCTGGCTGGGACATTCCAAAACTTTAATCTTCTTCTGGTGAAGCCATTCTTTTGTTGATTTGGATTTATGCTTTGGGTCGTTGTCATGCTGAAAGATGAAGTTCTTCTTCATGTTCAGCTTTCTAGCAGAAGCCTGAAGGTTTTGTGCCAATATTGACTGGTATTTGGAACTGTTCATAATTCCCTCTATCTTGACAAAGGCCCCAGTTCCAGCTGAAGAAAAACAGCCCCAAAGCATGATGCTGCCACCACCATGCTTCACTGTGGGTATGCTGTTTTTTAGGTGATGTGCAGTGTTGTTTTTGTGCCAAACATATCTTTTGGAATTATGGCCAAAAAGTTCAACCTTGGTTACATCAGACTATAACACATTTTCCCACATGCTTTTGATAGACTGCAGATGTGTTTTGGCAAAATTTAGCCAGGCTTGGATGTTTTTCTTGCTAAGAAAAGGCTTCCGTCTTACCCCATAGCCCAGACATATGAAGAATACAGGAGATTGTTTCAAATGTGAACACAGCTAATGGCATCCCCAGTTATAAGAGGGTGTGTATGTCACTGCACCATATGCAACTTCACATTATATTTTGGAAATTCTTTTTTTTTTATGTTTACAATGAGATCCCTCTGATGCTTTGGAAGCCCCCCATGGGTTTTGCCCCCTACAAAAAGATTTCAGCACTTTAAATGATTTGCTTTTCAATTTTGAGATTGCTTTTTACAGCTATATTATATAGGTTACACTTATGCAACCATAAATATGTTTACTCCCCCCCCCCCCCCCCCCCCCCAAAACAGTTTGCATACATATAGGTTATAAAAAATTTTTTTCTTGCCCATTTTGGCCCATTGGATCAATACAGTGAGTGAGAGGATATCTCTCTAAAATGAAGAACATTCACTCTTAGATAGCTGTCACCAGAACAGACGTATTGTTGTAAGATTACCCCTCAGGTCCTGTATCAGTGACAACTGTAAAATTTGGATAACTAAAAAAGGACATCTTCTGTGTCAGCATCTGATGTGAATATTTCAGATTTAAAGTTTTTGCAGACAGAATAAAAAGTTAACTTTTTAAATATTATCATTTTTCAGTAATTTTGCTTGTAAAACCACCAGTATAAATGTGTTGATTACCGTAATATATAGTTATCTTTTGCATCTGCACCGACACATGCTGCAATAACTCTAAATGTGTATTTTATAGTACTTAAAGCCCTATGCTGTATTTGAGAGATGTAAAGAAAAATAAAATCAGAGGGTTTATTTATTCAAAGAAAGCAGAGATTTGCTTTATTTTTCTAAATTGCTTTAAAAAAAATGGCAACCATTTTCTTGCAGACATCATCTCCACTCTTTTATGTATATGGTGATAGAGTTCTATTCATGCTTCTAAAATTGCAAAGGCAAAAAGTAGTAATAGAAAACCTATTAGAATGGCTCATTTAGAAGGGACAGCTTAGTGCACTTTACGCAAACACATGTTTTGAAACGTGATTGCAGTGTTTCACGTGCAGTAATTTTGGATTTGCCTTTCACCTTTTTATAAGCCTAAAGCTGAACTTTAGGCAAACAAGTTATTACACACTTGATCTGTATTACCTGCCAAAGAACTGTTTCTTTCATTTGGTCCCGAGAATTACACAATGCTAACACACAGCACAGCCCTGTCTGGCATGGTGGGTGTTCTGATTTTTCTTGCAGTTAAGAAACACTTACAGATCTTGTCCCTCCCCTAACCTGGCCTGGACATTGAAATGAAAAAACAGCAGACTGATCAGCTCATCTCTCTGCTCTTTCCAACTATCATCAAATTTCTTGTTTAGACATAAATACTTAAGCATATTTGCTTGGCTTCTTAAAGTGCTTGTTCTTCTCCCAATCTCAGCTCCGTACATGGGATTTCCTTTTAATACCTGTTTTGATTTGGTATTCAGGTACATATGTTTCTGCTGCTGTTAGAGATTGGACACTGACAAACAAGAGCTATAAGGACTGCTCAGTATAAAACCCCTCCTACTCCCAGCATAGCTCAGTTTTTTTATTAGTATCCTTAGGAGAATGGGTGTCTTTTCTCTGCTCTGAGAGAAGCAAATCATTTCCTAACCTTTTGCTTTTTATCAAGATTTTCTTTCTACTAGCTAGATTCTTTAGTTGCTGTAGAACCATTGAGGCTCAGTTTTTTAGCTTCTGGATCAGCTACCAGGACCCCAACAGAAAGAAGACACTGGTTCTCTAGGTACTTAGCTCTGTGTAAGGTGCTGACCTAGCCACATGGTGTAGTGTATCAAGTTAAGTGCAGGGTGTTCTACTGGTCTAGACCACCCATTCGTGGGAGCCCTTTTAGGGGGCATGCCCACCAGGAGAATGAAGACTGTGGGATAGGGCATGTCCCTTAGACCCTGCCTTTCTATGGTGGGGATTGCAGGAAATCAACGCTGTGGTAAGTTAGGGCTGCAGTCCTTCTTGGAGCCTGGAGGTGCTGGGCTAATTCCGTAATGGGCTACACTCAGATTCGTTGGCTGACTATTTCGGTTGCAGGGGGAGTAGGTGGCTCCACTGCTATTTGGAAATTTTTCACAATTTTACCTTTTGTATTGGGTGTAGGCACACTTCCTTGGAGGCCTCTTCTGAGTCTGCTCAGCTGTCTTCAGGTTGGTTCATTCTGTGCATGCACGCACAATTTTGGACTACACACACATACA